TCACAGCATCATCGGACTGAGCTTGTTGTCATTGCAGGCAATCTCAACGCTGTGCGTTACAGGGAAGACATCCTCCTCCCTCATGTGGTACCCTTCCTGCAGGCTCATCCTGACAGGACCCTCCAGCATGACAATGCCACCAGCCATACTGCTCGTTCTGTGCGTGTTTTCCTGCAAGACAGGAATGTCAGTGTTCTGCCATGGCCAGCGAAGTGCCCGGATCTCAATCCCATTGAGCACGTCTGGGATCTGTTGGATCGGAGGGTGAGGGCTAGGGCCATTTCCCCCAGAAATGTCCGGGAACTTGCAGGTGGGGTAACATCTCACAGCAAAAACAGGAAAATCTGGTGCAGTCCATGAGGAGGAGATTCACTGCAGTATTTAATGCAGCTGGTGGCCACACCAGATACTGACTGTTACTTTTGATTTTGACCCCCCCCTTTGTTCAGGGACACATTATTCAATTTCTGTTAGTCACATGTCTGTGGAACTTGTTCTGTTTATGTCTCAGTTGTTGAATCTTGTTATGTTCATACAAATATTTACACGTTAAGTTTACTGAAAATAAACGCAGTTGACAGTGAGAGGACGTTTCTTTTTTTGCTGAGTTTACATTATCAAGCATTTCACACGTTATCCAGATACTGACTGTTAGCACTTGGTGGTCTATAGCAGCGTCCCACCAGAATGGGCTTTAGGTGAGGCAGATGAACATGTAGCCATATTACTTCGACAGTATTTAACATTAGATCCTCTCTAAGCTTTACAGGAATGTGGTTCTGAATATAAAACAGCCACACCTCCACCTTTGGCATTTCTGTATTTTCTGTAAATCTTATAACCATGTATTGCTACCACTGTATCATCAAAGGTATTATCTAAGTGAGTTTCAGAGATTGTCAGAATATGAATGTCATCTGTTACTAGCAAATGATTGATTTCATGAACCATGTTTCTTAAGCTACATATGTTAACGTGGGCTATTTTGAGCACTTTCCTTCTGGGATGCTTACTTGTTTTTCTTGCTTTACTGGGAAGCTTAGCAGAGATAGACAAGCTTGAGTTATGTATGTTAGTGCAGGGTGAGCTGCACACAGTGGACTTCCTGCTAGGGCACACCACCTCAGTGCTAACAGTATAACTCTGGTTCATAGCCATTTGATTACTGCATACAATAGCTGTAGGATCAGCAGAGGCATTCAGGGCAGTAAGAGGAACATCAATTAGGTTACTTACATTGTGTCTTCCAACGCCCCTGGGATAATGTACATTTGCTGAGACATTATGACAACTCAGCCACACAATGGCAGGGATTAAATGAGCTGGGCTTGGGTCATTGATAAGTAATTGTCTCAACGCAGCCTTATAATGCTGTGAAAGGATCCAGGAACCCTCCATATAATACGAACTTTGTTTCCAGAAGGTATCAAAATTGTCAACAAATGTTACACCCACAGAGCTGCAATAGTCTCGTAGCCAGTTATGGAGGGCTAAAAGTCTGCTGAATCGTTCAATGCCACGATTTAGGGAGGGCAGAGGGCCAGATATTATGGGGCGTTTGTTGGTGTCAAGTAGTGACCCAATCAGTTTTTTCAAATCCATCTTCAGCTGTTCTGAGCTGCCCTTCATAATGTAATTCGACCCCACATGAACCCTGACAGTATCAGCCCCCGGTGACCGACGCACAGCCTCGGGAAGCAACCTGGTGATATCCTGAACTGTTGCAGCAGGAAAACAAAGTCTTTGCCCCAGGTACAGATATATGCCTTACCATCGAACTCCCTATCACAATAGCCGGAATGATCCGGCCTCTGCCGTGTCTGGAAGCTGATTGAGAGGCCAGAGCCACAGAACTCACCTGAGAAGAGGGGTGCTGAGACGCCAGCTGCGTGCAGGCCACAACAGCCAAAGGGACAGAGCTCTGATCCAGAGAGCACGGCCCAGCGGAGGGGGGCCGCGGTGGTCCAGGCTGTGCCCAGGCAGTTGATTGACTAGGACAGGGAGAGGTAGCTGGAGGGACATCCACAGCCATGGAGGGAAAACCATTACATAAAAGTCAGTGCGCAGCGGCACAATACAAACAACCCAGGAAAAAGGGCATTTTTCTCATAAATGTGAATCAATATAGCAGGTATTTACAATAGGATTACCTACACTAGATCGATTCCAGGAAACAGTCTTGGGAAACATGTCTTTAGAGTAACAAATGTTTTATTGGTATTTTTTAACAAATCATTCAACTGATGACAGAACATAACAATTGGTGTTCAACAAGGGTATAGGTTCACACATTTTCAGCATCACAACCTAAAATGACAAGGCTATTTCATCTGGTGTTGATAAGATCGATATGTCTGTTTAAAAGAAGCAGCAGGTTGACTCCACAATGACAGCGAGAGACAGAGAAACTGTAAACACACTCACAGATGCCCAACTCTCAGATGGTCTTGTTAACAGAGTTTCTGCCTCATATCCTTTCATCACACAAACATCATCATGATTTCAGGGTAAACAATAAACATAAAGTACATTCAAACATCTGTTGTATAATATCTACAGTCATTTTAAGACTTTTTCCCTTTTTCTCAAAATACAATATTATCTTTATCCCAGGTCCTGTTTAAAAAAGTTGCAAAGATGTATATACACATATGGAGGCAGGACATCAAATCACATACAAATGATAAATAAATAATAAAATGATAAAAAACACAAATACAAATATGAACCAATATTGAAAAGGCAGGTGGCAAACCTACATGCTTTCACTTTTGTCTTCAGCTCTTCTTTGATACCATGGCAACAGGCTGGAGTTCAGCAAAGATGGAAGCAGCAAAACAACCTTTTAAAAAAAAACATGGCGGAGAACTTCACGTCACATAATCTGCTTCCAGTTATATGAGGTTCTGAAAGTAAACAAACATACAACACAATCAGCGATGGGGCTGGTGCCAAAAACTAATCCTGACACTGTAATTTAGCCAAGGTTTAGCCACACAAATGTGAGTATTCCATTTATGGTTGAGCTCTTATAAATCTACTGACCTCCCATATTTGTCCATAAACTATCCTATGCAACATACTATAGATGAAAACACTGCAGTCTTGATTTAGCATTAATATTAACAACATGTTGGATAAACTGGACCAGATTAGTAGAGAGATTAAAGCAGCGGAGAGCCAGGTACAGTGGGGAGAACAAGTATTTGATACACTGCCGATTTTGCAGGTTTTCCTACTTACAAAGCATGTAGAGGTCTGTAATTAAAAATAAAAAAAGAAATCCAGAAAAAGAAAAATCCAGAAAATCACATTGTATGATTTTTAAGTAATGAATTTGCATTTCATTGCATGACATAAGTATTTGATACATCAGAAAAGCAGAACTTAATATTTGGTACAGAAACCTGTGTTTGCAATTACAGAGATCATACGTTTCCTGTAGGTCTTGACCAGGTTTGCACACACTGCAGCAGGGATTTTGGCCCACTCCTCCATACAGACCTTCTCCAGATCCTTCAGGTTTCGGGGCTGTCGCTGGGCAATACGGACTTTCAGCTCCCTCCAAAGATGTTCTATTGGGTTCAGGTCTGGAGACTGGCTAGGCCACTCCAGGACCTTGAGATTCTTCTTACGGAGCCACTCCTTAGTTGCCCTGGCTGTGTGTTTCGGGTCGTTGTCATGCTGGAAGACCCAGCCACGACCCATCTTCAATGCTCTTACTGAGGGAAGGAGGTTGTTGGCCAAGATCTCGCGATACATGGCCACATCCATCCTCCCCTCAATACAGTGCAGTGTCCTGTCCCCTTTGCAGAAAAGCATCCCCAAAGAATGATGTTTCCACCGCCATGCTTCACGGTTGGGATGGTGTTCTTGGGGTTGTACTCATCCTTTTTCTTCCTCCAAACACGGCGAGTGGAGTTTAGACCAAAAAGCTCTATTTTTGTCTCATCAGACCACATGACCTTCTCCCATTCCTCCTCTGGATCATCCAGATGGTCATTGGCAAACTTCAGACGGGCCTGGACATGCGCTGGCTTGAGCAGGGGGACCTTGCGTGTGCTGCAGGATTTTAATCCATGACGGCGTAGTGTGTTACTAATGGTTTTCTTTGAGACTGTGGTCCCAGCTCTCTTCAGGTCATTGACCAGGTCCTGCCGTGTAGTTCTGGGCTGATCCCTCACCTTCCTCATCATTGATGCCCCACGAGGTGAGATCTTGCATGGAGCCCCAGACCGAGGTTGATTGACCGTCATCTTGAACTTCTTCCATTTTCTAATAATTGCGCCAACAGTTGTTGCCTTCTCACCAAGCTGCTTGCCTATTGTCCTGTAGCCCATCCCAGCCTTGTGCAGGTCTACAATTTTATCCCTGATGTCCTTACACAGCTCTCTGGTCTTGGCCATTGTGGAGAGGGTGGAGTCTGTTTGATTGAGTGTGTGGACGGGTGTCTTTTATACAGGTAACGAGTTCAAACAGGTGCAGTTAATACAGGTAATGAGTGGAGAACAGGAGGGCTTCTTAAAGAAAAACTAACAGGTCTGTGAGAGCCGGAATTCTTACTGGTTGGTAGGTGATCAAATACTTATGTCATGCAATAAAATGCAAATTAATTACTTAGAAATCATACAATGTGATTTTCTGGATTTTTGTTTTAGATTCCGTCTCTCACAGTTGAAGTGTATCTATGATAAAAATTACAGACCTTTACATGCTTTGTAAGTCGGAAAACCTGCAAAATCGGAAGTGTATCAAATACTTGTTCTCCCCACTGTATGTCTTGGGCCAGTGGGTCTCTTGGCTCTCTGTGCCACACCAATCAACACTGATTAAGATCCTAAATTGTCTTGGATTATCACCAAATCATTGCCTTACATTTACCCACTACATTACTATACTTTAGGAGGACAACAACCAACACTGATAACAACTATAGGACTAACATGTCTCTACTGAGCCAGACCAGGTAGTCCTGCTGTCCTTCACACTGGACTCACCACGTCCCTCCTCCGGGCAACTCCAGGCCCTCTCTGTACAGTTGAAGCCTGCGAGGAGGCCCCTCCACTAAGTGAACCGTAGCCTGACATCTGGCCCCGGGGCAGAAAGCTGGACGGGCAGTACGGGATTACCCCCTCACCTGCAGATGACAATATGCAATACTGCAATCACTCAAAAGTGCAGCTGGAATTATATGGGTCAGATTATAAGTGCTGGACCAGACTAGACCCCCCCCACCATCTCTGGCCAACTGGGTAGAGGGGATTGCTGCTAGATGTGTGCTTAAACCGATGCGTTATTTTAAGTCCACGGAGGATTTGTATGCGTATGAATGTAGACAGAGCATTACTAGACCTCAATCACAACATGTGTCTGTGCTTGCTGCTTTTATATTACTGTACGTGTATTTGCATTCATTAGATGGTTTGATGCATACCTTGTGAGCCCCTCATGGCAGGCCCTCTCTTCTGGGGTGAGGAGTAGTCTCCTCTCCTCTGTAGAGCCGGTGAGTTGTCCGCCGACGGTGTCCGGCTGCAGCCCAGCACATCAGACAGGAGCTGCATGGGGTCATCTGCTGCAGGGGGTGGGGTCAGCGGAGGGGGCAGGTCTGCACAGACTGATTGACGGCTCATGATTAAAAAAAACACTGCCTTCACACGACCACACGGGTTGCCTCTTTAAAGCACTGCTGTCTATCTGTTCACATTTAAATGTACACTACAGGACTTTGAAGTAGTCTCCCGAGTGGCGCAGTGGTCTAAGGCACTGCATCGCAGTGCTAGCTGTGCCACTAGAGATCCTGGTTCGAATCCAGGCTCTGTCGTAGCCGGCCGCGACCGGGAGACCCATGGGGCGGCGCATAATTGGCCCTGCGTCGTCCAGGGTAGGGGAGGGAATGGCCGGCAGGGATGTAGCTCAGTTGGTAGGGCATGGCGTTTGCAACGCCAGGGTTGTGGTTTCAATTCCCACGGGGGGCCAGTATGAAAAATACAAAAATAATGTATGCACTAACTGTGTAAGTCGCTCTGGATAAGAGCGTCTGCTAAAATAAATAAATAAATTTAAAAAAAGTGGAACTGACAGCATTTTAGCAACATGAAATCTTATTAAAATCTATTCATATACACCCCCAGGAAGAATATGACACTTTCATTTAATTTTTTTACATTTTCTGACAAGCGAGCACCAACACTACCGGTCAAACATTTTAGAACACCTACTCATTCAATGGTTTTCTTTATTTTTTACTATTTTCTACATTGTAGAATAATAGTGAAGACATCAAAACTATGAAATAACAAATATGGAATCATGTAGTAACCAAAAAAGTATTAAACAAATCAACATACACTACCGTTCAAAAGTTTGGGGTCACTTAGAAATGTCCTTGTTTTCCATGAAAACATACATGAAATGAGTTTGAATAGGAAATAGAGCAAAATGAATAGGAAATGTAGTCATTGACAAGGTTAGAAATAATGATTTTTAATTGAAATAATAATTGTGTCCTTCAAACTTTGCTTTCGTCAAATAATCCTCAATTTGCAGCAATTACAGCCTTGCAGACTTTTGGCATTGTAGTTATCAATTTGTTGAGGTAATCTGAAGAGATTTCACCCCATGCTTCCTGAAGCACCTCCCACAAGTTGGATTGGCTTGATGGGCACTTCTTACTTACCATACGGTCAAGCTGCTCCCACAACAGCTCAATAGGGTTGAGATTCGGTGACCATGCTGGCCACTCCATTATAGACAGAATACCAGCTGACTGCTTCTTCCCTAAATAGTTATTGCATAGTTTGGAGCTGTGCTTTGGGTCATTGTCCTGTTGTAGGAGGAAATTGGCTCCAATCAAGCGCCATCCACAGGGTATGGCATGGCGTTGCAAAATGGAGTGATAGCCTTCCTTCTTCAAGATCCCTTTTACCCTGTACAAATCTTCCACTTTACCACCACCAAAGCACCCCCAGACCATCACATTGCCTCCACCATGCTTGACAGATGGCATCAAGCACTCCTCCAGCATCTTTTCATTTGGTCTGCGTCTCACAAATGTTATTCTTTGTGATCCGAACACCTCAAAACTTAGATTAGTCTGAACACTTTTTTTCCAATCTTCCTCTGTCCAGTGTCTGTGTTCTTTTGCCCATCTTAATATTTTCTTTTTATTGGCCAGTCTGAGATATGGCTTTTTTCTTTGCAACTCTGCCTAGAAGGTCAGCATACCGGAGTCACCTCTTCACGGTTGACGTTAAGACTGGTGTTTTGCGGGTACTATTTAATGAAGCTGCCAGTTGAGGACCTGTGAGGCGTCTGTTTCTCAAACTAGACACTAATGTATTTGTCCTCTTGCTCAGTTGTGCACCGGGGCCTCCCACTCCTCTTTCTATTCTGGTTAGAGACAGTTTGCGCTGTTCTGTGAAGGGAGTAGTACACAGCGTTGTACGAGATCTTCAGTTTCTTGGCAATTTCTCGCATGAAATAGCCTTCATTTCTCAGAACAAGAATAGACTGACGAGTTTCAGAAGAAAGTTATTTGTTTCTGGCCATTTTGAGCCTGTAATCGAACCCACAATTGCTGATGCTTCAGATACTCAACTAGGTCTCAAGAAGGCCAGTTTTATTGCTTCTTTAATCAGCAAAACAGTTTTCAGCTGTGCTAACATAATTGCAAAAGGGTTTTCTAATGCTCAATTAGCCTTTTAAAATGATAAACTTGGATTAGCAAACACAACGTGCCATTGGAACACAGGACTGATGGTTGCTGATAATGGGCCTCTGTACACCTATGTAGATATTCCATAAAAAATATGCCGTTTCCAGCTACAATAGCCATTTACAACATTAACAATATCTACACTGTATTTCTGATCAATTTGATGTTATTTTAATGGACAAAAAATTTGCTTTTCTTTCAAAAACAAGGACATTTCTAAGTGACCCCAAACTTTTGAACTGTAGTGTATATTTTATATTTGAGATTCTTCAAATAGCCACCCTTTGCCTTGATGACAGCTTTGCACACTCTTGGCATTCTCTCAACCAGCTTCATGAGGTAGTCACATGGAAGGCATTTCAATGAACAGGTGTGCCTTCTTAAAAGTTAATTTGTGGAATTTCTTTCCTTCTTAATGCGTTTGAGCCAATCAGTTGTGTTGTGACAAGGTACAGGGGGTATACAGAAGATAGCCCTATTTGGTAAAAGACCAAGTCCATATTATGGCAAGAACAGCTCAAATAAGCAAAGAGAAAAGACAGTCCATCATTACTTTAAGACACGGAGGTCAGTCAATCTGGAAAATGTCAAGAACTTTGAACGTTTCTTCAAGTGCAGTCGCAAAAACCATCAAGCGCTATGATGAAACTGGCTCTCATGAGGACCGCCACAGGAATGGAAGACCCAGAGTTACCTCTGCTGCAGAGGATAAGTTCATTAGAGTTACTCGCCTCAGAAATTGCAGCCCAAATAAATGCTTCACAGAGTTCAAGTAACAGACACATCTCAACATCAACTGTTCAGAGTAGACTGTGTGAAACAGGGCTTCATGGTCAAATTGCTGCAAAGAATCCACTACTAAAGGACACCAATAAGAAGAAGAGCCTTGCTTGGGCCAAGAAATACGAGCCATGGACATTAGACAGGTGGAAATCTGTCCTTTGGTCTGGAGTCCAAATTTGAGATTTTTGGTTCCAACCGCCGTGTCTTTGTGAGACGCGGTGTGGGTGAACGGATGATCTCCGCATGTGTATTTCCCACTGTAAAGCATGGAGGAGGAGGTGTTATGGTGTAGGGTGCTTTGCTGGTGACACTGTCTGTGATTTATTTAGAATTCAAGGCACACTTAACCAGCATGGCTACCACAGCATTCTGCAGCGATACGCCATCCCATCTGGTTTGGGCTTAGTGGGAGTATCATTTGTTTTTCAGCAGGACAATGACCCAACACACCTCCAGGCTGTGTAAGGGCTATTTTACCAAGGAGGAGAGTGATGGAATGCTGCATCAGATGACCTGGCCTCCACAATCCCCCGACCGCAACCAAATTGAGATGGTTTGGGATGAGTCGGACCGCAGAGTGAAGGAAAAGCAGCCAACAAGTGCTCAGCATGTGGGAACTCCTTCAAGCCTGTTGGAAAAGCATTCCAGGTGAAGCTGGTTGAGAGAATGCCAAGAGTGTGCAAAGCTGACATCAAGGTAAAGGGTGGCTATTTGAAGAATCTCAAATATAAAATATATTTTGATTTGTTTAACACTTTTTTGGTTACTACATGATTCCATGTGTGTTATTTCATAGTTTTGAGGTCTTCACTATTATTCTACAATGTAGAAAATAGTCAAAATAAAGAATATCCCTTGAATGAGTAGGTGTTCTAAAACTTTTGACCAGTAGTGTAGATATGGTCATTTTCACGTTTTCATAAATTCTTATAATGTTTGGGAATTACGTATTCTAAGGCATTTGTGAAAATTCTACAGCAATATAGAGTGGGAAAGCGGCCATACATTTGGACAATTAATAGACACGGCAGTAAATAAAACCAAATAAAATTATCTGTCTCGTCCAGGACCAGAGTCTACGCAGACTGGTACACCATAGCCAATCAGAGCTTTTTGCACACAGGCCTGCCATCATTCACTTTGAACTGGACTGTGTGTTTACAGGCAGTTGCAACTGCGCGACTTTAGATCATTAGAACGCATTCGCCAAAAGCCACAAAATACACCTGAATGGATTTCTGCAAATATGTCAATACCACTTCGGAGTCCTCTTACATTTGGGAACTTTACAGTCCTATTGATCAAACAACCATGAAAAAGGTAAGCTCTCTCTCCTTCAGTTATGCACATCAACAACAAAAAGATCAACAACAAATGCTAGCCAGAGAAAGATGAGCCAACATCCTAACAAAAAAACATTAGATAAACCCTCTAACTTTTTCAAATAGTTGGTCGTCAAAATTGCACTGACAAACGATGGAGAATTGTAACCTACTCGTCCTTTGCAGCTTGCCTGCCAACAATGCATGCTTGTCCCAACCAAGCACCAAAGCTAATTGGCTAAAGTTGGCTAGCTTGTTAGCCAGCTTCTTCCAGACACAAATGACAGAACACCTCACTCTGACCATTTTACCCGCCCTAGCAGAGCTGGTTAGGCTGTTTACATGTTATCTAGAGCGTTCGTGACTAACTATTACTTTCTTTGCCTACGTTTACTGACATAGCCTGTTTTTTGTCTTTTATTCGTATATATTTCTCCATCTCACTTTCCATCCTTTAACTAAATATACTTTCCTGCAACCCGCCTCACCCAATGTGGAACGGATTCTATTATTTCTTTATTTTTATCAAGAGCCTACGGCTGAAACTAGCCAGCTAACTAGCTGCTTGCTATTAGCCACCGTTAGCGGTCTTCACCACTGTCCGTGGCCTGCACTACCTACCTACCAGCCAGCTCTAGCCTGGACAATTATCGGCCAGTCTGCACAGCATGCTATCGACCCAGAGCATATCGGATTTTCGCAGGAATCACTGAATCACTGGACCTTAACACCAGACCATCGCAACTAGCTAGCTGCTGTTGTTGGCTAATCATCACTTCCCGACGTACCAGTTAGCCTTGAGCTAGCCTTGAGCCAGGCCCATCTTCCGGCTATCTATCTCTCTGTCAACTGGACGGGACCTCCTAGTGTCGACATGGAGCCCCGCCGATCCATCACGACTGGTCTGCCGACGTAATCGTCTGATGTGGTTTCAACAGGCTTCCCGTTGCGATGACGACGGAAGATCCATCTGCTAGCCCCGGCCCGCTAGCACGCGCAATCAACAGCCGTGCCTCCTGCTCGCCTGTGCTTTAGCAGCCTACGATCTGCTCCCGGACTTACTTAGTGCTGTTCACTGGACCTTATGATCACTAGCTATATAGCTAATGCCTGCTGGACTGTTCCTTTACACGGTACCCCATCCTGTTTATCTGTTTAGCCTCAGCCCAAACTTTCGTCGCCATTACCAGTTGTTGTCTTAGCCCTCTCAAACAACACCTGTGATTGCGTTATGCCTCTATCCCATGTCAATATGCCTAGCCTATTGCTGTTTGGGTTAGTTCTTATTATACAATTTCACTGTAGAGCCCCAAGTTCAGCTCAACCAGCCTCAGACCTCCTTTGTCCCACCCCCCATACACGCGGAGACCGGCTCAATTGGTACCTCCAGTGATGCTCTCTCTTTCATATTTACCCAATGCTTAGGTGTACCTCCACTGTACTCATATCCTTCCATATCCTTGTCTGTACATAATGCGCTGAATCTATTCTACAACGCCCGGAAATATGCCCCTTTTATTCTCTGTACCCAACGCACTAGAAGACCAGTTCTTAAAGCCTTTAGCCATATCCTTATTCTATTCCTCCTCTGTTCCTCTGGTGATGTAGAGGCTAACCCAGGCCCTGTAGCCCCCAGTATCACTCCTTCCCCCAAGCGCTATCATTTGTTGACTTCTGTAACCGTAAAAGCCTTGGTTTCTTGCATGTTAACATCAGGACTGCGTGGTCCTCTGTAGCTCAATTGGTAGAGCATGGCGCTTGTAACGCCAGGGTAGTGGGTTAGATCCTCGGGACCACCCATACGTAAAAATTTATGCGCACATGACTAAGTCGCTTTGGATAAAAGCGTCTGCTAAATGGCATATTATTATTATCATCAGAAGCCTCCTCCCCAAGTTTGAGTTATTCACTGTGTTAGGACACTCCGCCAACCCTGATGTTCTGGCAGTGTCTGAATCTTGGCTTAGGAAGGCCACCAAAAATTCAGAAATTTCCATCCCGAACTACAACATTTTCCGTCTAGATAGAACTGCCAAAGGGGGCGGAGTTGCAATCTACTGTAGAGATAGCCTGCAGTAGCTCTATCATACTATCCAGAACAGTTTGAGCTTCTACTTCTAAAAATCCACCTTTCCAGAAATAGGTCTCTCACTGTTGCCGCTTGCTACAGACCCACCTCAGACCCCAGTTGTGCCCTGGACACCATATGTGAATTGCTTGCCCACCATCTATCCTCAGAGTTCGTACTGCTTGGTGACCTAAACTGGGATATGCTTAACACCCCGGCCGTCCTACAATCTAAACTAGATGCCCTCAATCTCACACAAATTATCAAGGAACCTACCAGGCACAACCCTAAATCCGTAAACATGGGCACCCTCATAGATATCATCCTGACTAATTTACCCTCTAAATACACCTCTGCCGTCTTCAACCAGGATCTCAGCGATCACTGCCTGCGTCCGTAATGGATCCGCGGTCAAACGACCACCCCTCATCACTGTCAAACGCTCCCTAAAACACTTCAGCGAGCGGGCCTTTCTAATTGACCTGGCCCGGGTATCCTGGATGGATATTGACCTCATTCCGTCAGTAGAGGATGCCTGGATGTTCTTCAAAAGTGCTTTTCTCTCCATCTTAAATAAGCATGCCCCATTCAAAAAATTCAGAACTAAGAACAGATATAGCCCCTGGTTCACCCCAGACTTGACTGCCCTTGACCAGCACAAAAACATCCGGTGGCGTACTGCATTAGCATCGAACAGCCCCTGCGATATGCAACTTTTCAGGGAAGTCAGGAACCAATATACACAATCAGTTAGGAAAGCAAAGGCTAGCTTTTTCAAACAGAAATGTGCATCCTGTAGCACTAATTCCAAAAAGTTTTGGGACACTAAAGTCCATGGAGAATAAGAGCACCTCCTCCCAGCTACCCACTGCACTGAGGCTAGGAAACACTATAACCACCGATAAATCTACGATAATCGAGAATTCCAATAAGCATTTTGCTACGGCTGGCCATGCTTTCCACCTGGACAACAGGCCCTCCGATTTGACACATTGAACTCTATCTGAGAAGTAGTTGGTGAACTAGGCGAGGCAGTCATTTGAGAAACCGAGGCTATTTAGTCTGCCAATAAGAATGCGGTGATTGACAGAGTCAAAAGCCTTGGCCAGGTCGATGAAGATGGCTGCACAGTACTGTCTATTATCGATCGCGGTTATTATATCGTTTAGGACCTTGAGTGTGGCTGAGGTGCACCCATGGCCAGCTCGGAAACCAGATTGCACAGCGGAGAAGTGACTGCCTCGCCTGGTTCACCAACTACTTCTCAGATAGAGTTCAATGTGTCAAATCGGAGGGCCTGTTGTCTGCACCTCTGGCAGTCTATGGGGGCGCCAAAGGGTTCAATTCTCGGGCCGACTCTGTATATCAATGATGTCGCTCTTGCTGCTGGTGACTCTCAGATCCACCTCTACGCAGACGACACCATTTTGTATACATCTGGCCCTTCATTGGACACTTAACAAACCTCCAAATGAGCTTCAATGCCATACAACACTCCTTCAGTAGCCTCTAACTGCTTTTAAACACTAGTAAAACTAAATGCATGCTCTTCAATCGAACGCTGCTTGCACCCGCCCGCCTGACTAGAATCACTACTCTCGGCGGGTCTGACTTAGAATATGTGGACAACTACAAATACCTAGGTGTCTGGTTAGACTGTAAACTCTCCTTCCAGACTCACATTAAGCATCTCCAATCCAAAGTTAAATCTCCAATCGGGTTCCTATTTCGCAACAAAGCCTCCTTCACTCATGCTGCTAAACATGCCCTCGTAAAACTGACTATCCTACCGATCCTTGACTTCGGCGATGTCATTTACAAAATAGCTTCCAACACTCTACTCAGCAAATTGGATGTAGTCTATCACAGTGCCATCCGTTTTGTCACCAAAGCCCCATATACTACCCACCATTGTGACCTGTACGCTCTCGTTGGCTGGCCCTCACTACATATTCGTCGCCAAACCCACTGGCTCCAGGTCATCTATAAATCACTTCTAGGCAAATCCCTGCCTTATCTTAGATCACTGGTCACCATAGCAACACCCACCCGTAGTATGCGTTCCAGCAGGTATATCTCACTGGTCATCCCCAAAGCCAACACCTCCTTTGGCCGCCATTCCTTCCAGTTCTCTGCTGCAAATGACTGGAACGAACTGCAAAAATCTCTGAAGCTGGAGACACTTATCTCCCTCACTAAGTTTAAGCATCAGTTGTCAGGGCAGCTTACCGATCACTGCACAGCCCATCTGTAATTAGCCCACCCAACTACCGTATCCCCATATTGTTATTTACATTGTTATTTATTTTGCTCATTTGCACCCCAGTATCTCTATTTGCACATCATCTTCTGCACATCTATCACTCCAGTGTTAATACTAAATTGTAATTATTTTGCACTATGCCTATTTATTGCCTTACCTCCATAACTTACTACATTTGCACACACTGTATATAGATTTTCTATTGTGTTATTGACTGTACATTTTGTTTATTCCATATGTAACTCTGTGTTGTTGTTGTTTTTATTGCACTGCTTTGCTTTATCTTGGCCAGGTCGCAGTTGTTAATGAGAACTTGTTCTCAACTGGCTTACCTGGTTAAATAAAGGTGAAATAAAAAAAATAAACAAATAAATGACACCTGCATCTCTAGCTGTGTAAAGCCACCAAAAAGCGATATGAGGGGGAAAAGTCAGTCACTCACCCACTCCTCCAATGACATCCTCCTAGCAGCTAGCGATCTAGCTAACATTAGGCTCAGAGTTTTTAGCTTGCTACATAAATAGACACGCTAGCCTATTAGCCACGTTATGACTGACTTGTGATCATTGCCCTTGCTAGTTTGATTGTATTGTCATTCCCAGCCTTAGTTACATTTGTCAATTTTGTCCAAAATATTGAGCTATTGAAACTGAAACAGTGCATCCCGAATGGAGGCAGCAAACAATGTACCAGGCCAGCTGTGATTTACAACCTGATAGCAATATTTTCTGGACTACCATGAAATGTATTGGTGAATTATATTAATAATGCATTGAACTGCATCAATCTATTCTGCCAACAATGCCTTAGTGTAACATCATGGAATGTTGAGGCAAAGATAACCTATTTTTAAAACCTCTTATAAAGTTGGTTTTGTAGCATAAACTGGGAATTAGATCTTTTTTTACTGATATTATGATTGTCTGTTTGTTTCATATCTGCAAAGTAGTTAAAACGCTGCCATTTCCACTTTAACCATATGTACTGGATAAGACCGTCTGCCAAATGACCAAAATGTAAATGTAGTGTACTGTAATGTAAGGATGTTGCTTGAATCCCAAGGTGGGCCTGTTACTTATGGGCATGTGCTAGCAAAACACCAAAAAGTTATAGCCATTTCTAAGTTGTTGCAAATAATAAGCTGGGGTAACTTGTTATTACAAAAGCTATGTGTGTTGCCTTGTATAAAAGTTTCTCCAAAGAGAAGATATGATATGAAGATAACATAAATGTAGCCTACTCTCCAATGTCTTACCTGCTTGGTCATGCAGCTCTCGTCGGTGCTGGCCCTCCCTGAGGGCTTTCTTCTTGCTTCTGGTTCTGTGTCCCTGCGTAGCGTGGGCGGACTCAGCCGGGAAAGGAGGAGATTGTCCTGACAGAAAAGAACAGTGATGTCATCATCAATAAGACATTCAGTGGGAATAAAAGACACAGAGCCATCTCAGAATAGATCTGATTCAATTTTCATGTACAAATACTTTGTTACACGTAACATGATAACATTGAATAATTCAGAATAATTATGCAGTTATGGATTAGTCTAGTAGCAGATCTGTCTGTGCTTTAGCCAACTCCTCTTGTCCTGTTCGTGACATCCTGTATGTATGGCATGGCAACAAAGGACGTGGCTAAAGCACATACAGTTCTGTGACCAGGCTGGTCATTTTCAAGAGGTTATCTACACATATAAATAATTATCCTCTGCATTAGAACTATGACAGGGGGACAGGTGTGTAAAGACCGAGGGACAGTTGTGTAAAGACAGGGGGACAGGTGTGTAAAGACAGGGGGACAGGTGTGTAAAGACAGGGGGACAGGTGTGTACAACTAACCTCTTCTGCCACTCCTCTCTGAAGTAAAGCTCTCCCCCGTGAAGGTGTCTCCCCATTGGCTGGTGTGGTATGGCCCGCTGACATCATAGGCGTCCTTATTGGCGAACAGGTTGCGGTTGGAATGGGAGATCTGGGAACCGGGCCCGTAGCGGCCCAGCAGGTCAAAGTGCTGTAGCGGGGGGCTATCGTTGGGGTTAGGGGGGCGTGTCTCCTCCTGGGGGGAGGGGGGGAGCGTGGCTGTGGACTGTAGGCTGGAGTTGGTGCCCTGGGCCAGCTTCTCTCTTCTGAAGGAGGGCAGGCTGGGTAACTCCTCCCTGGAGCTGTCCATTAGGTAAGGCCTGGCTGGCAGCGGGGGACACCAGTCCTCCTCATCCGAGCTACTGGGAGCAGGAGGAAGAGGAAACATGTGAGTAAAGGCCCCAGGTTTAACAACTAAGAGGACTTGACACATTGAGTGAAAAACACTGTCAGTAAGACCCCAGTATAAATCTAAGGGGTCTATCTTACACAATACTTGTACTTTATCATCAAGAAAACTCTTCGAGGCACATTAACAGCCATATCCAGAGACAGTTACAGTAGTTGACAGAGTTACATTTTAAAAGAGGAACCAGCAGCAATGGGTTACAAAACACAAGAGAGACTTCAAATGATTTATATGTTGCCATGACAACGTCAGAGGACGTCAGAGCAGATTTAACAGAGGACATGTTATTGGAAAAGGAAAGTGCTAATCCACACTGTCAGACGATGGCTAATGTCATTACAAAAGACACAGCACAGTCAGAACAGCTAGGTCCCCCCAGTTATGGCCACAATCTAATCTGTCACAATGAGTTAGAGTAAACTATACACTCCCCCTGATGCAGCCACACTAAGAGTCTCTCCTGAGCCTCCAGACAAGAATGTTTTTAACTCCAACATTAACCGTAGTAAACTTCACTAGAGTTTACAATCTGGTTTGAACCAGAGGACGGGTTCAGGGCCTAACGTCATGAACTCTTGCTATGTAGTTCAGGTAAACTATCAGGTCAAATAGAGTGCAAGCCATACATTCAATCTAAACATAGCCCTTATATGAGGGCGTCAGAGAATAGATAAAAAGGACACATCAGGAAAAATCACAATGAGTTATGGAGAAAAGGTGCAATATGTAGCAACTTCAGCACTCCTACTTCTCCTTCCCTGTACTGCCATTTCCCTCCAAACTCCATTAGTTCTCTCATCTGTCCTTAACAATTTATCCCATGGGAGGGTGTCTACAGGGGATATAGCGCTGGGTGTTACCTGTTCCTCCCCTCAGCCCTGTCTCTCTTGGTGTAACCCCGTTCTTTATTAGCAGGCAGCGGTAGAGACAGTACATCCTCCCAGTTGAGTGGTGCAGGCTTGGATGGAGGACACACGGACCTCTGCTTCACCAGCTTGGCTACAGTACAGAGAGACAGCAGACAACACTTATTTAAATCAAGCTGAAGAGAACATTAGAAATGAGCTATGTTAAATATATATGTACTATACATGTTTGTGTACAGCATACAAACACCCACATCAACTATGTAACAAAGTTAGCTATATCCTCACCACTTAACATTCCATGAGCCCTCAACCACAGTACATGAGAAGTGTAATAGCTGCCTGTACCATTGCTTGTCCTGGCGTACTGCAGCTTGGCGTACTCTCCAGACTGTCCAGACTGGATGGTCCACTGGTCCAGGTCTTGCTCCAGACCGAAGTGGCCCGAGTTGGAGAGGACAGGGGTACTGGCGTAGGAGTCAGGGCCCTGGGTGCAGGGGGTGTTGGAGCCCTGGCTGCAGGGGGTGTTGGAGCCCTGGCTGCAGGGGGTGTTGGAGTATGTGTTGTAGTAGGCTAGACCCTGCAGGTCCTCAGCAGCAGCTGTACTGATGGTGCTGTAGATGGGACTGTCGGTGGACACTGAGCTGTACTTCTCAGACTGGCTCAGGTAATTGGAGATGCCAACTGCTGGACAGAAATAGAAAGTCAATAAAAAAATGTAAAGTGGAGCCCATTTCCTTGAATGAACCACTTGATCTTCCCTCTGCAATTTCCTGGTCAATCACAAAAGCTCAAATAGGTTCCATCATTTGAGCAGCAATGGCAGCTTATTACTATTAATTTAGCTTCTATTCAAACTACTGCATTTTATCCCATCCGAAGTTGCAAGACGTGACTGTGGGCTCTCACCATTGTAGTACCTGTCTGTAGAGTCCAGTTTGCCAGAGCAACAGTTGACTGAGTCTTTTCCATTGTGGGCAAGGCCAGGGGCTGGCCAGGAGTCTGCTAGCCAGGGGTAGTTCCCCATGTTGGAGCCCACCATCCCTGGTCTACTGTAAACAGATGGAGAGAACTAAAGGTCAGATATTACTGTAAGTCTGTGCTGTTTGTAATAAAAAAAAGAGTCCACTCATGTTTACATTGATTCTCTGAGTAAAACCAAAACCTCTACCTTCCATTGCTGAGACCAGATCCTTCACTGTGAGCGAATCCAACTGCAGGAAAAACAACAACAAAAGCAATGGCTGCAATTAAAATATCTCTTTATTAGGCAGTGGCTTTCATCTAGGGCTGTTTGCCAAACCAATTAAGATAATATGCCGTATACTCAAGGGCACAAAATAGTGTGTCCCACTTGGGATTCAGGCATGCCGTTTTCTTTTGTCATTTCATTAAGGCATGCTACTGAGTCTGACCTAGATACACTAACAAGGCATAGATCACAGCAACACTAATATTCAGAAGCCACAGATTACAACAAGTCACATTTTAAGACACTCAGATACCCAGTTTTGGCAAGCCGTGATGGTGACAGGATTGGAACAGATTAGTATTGTAATGCTAATGGTATTGTTTGTATGTTATGTGAATACAGTGTTGGGGTTGAGGTTAAGGATGTTACAGTATACCTGCAGGTGTGTAGGCGAATGAGGTGGTGTAGTGTCCCAGCTCCTTCCTCCTGCGGTGGCGACAGTACAGCCAACCACTGAAGCCCATGAGCACCAGCCACGAGGCCACGCCCAACCCAGCTATGAACGCTGGTTGGCTGACCACGCCCGTGATCTGCTCTGATAGACTGAGGCTGCTGTCTTTCTGCAGAGGGTCTGAAGGCATGTCCAGTGACAGGGCTGAATGATAGAGAGTCCAGGTTATCATTCTGGCAAATTCATTTCCAATATGGTTTCCTGAATAAACAGACAACTAACTAACCCCATTGATTTTCTAGCAAGAAGTGTTGAAATACAGTATACCAGTAACAAACAATTCAGAAACCTCGATCCTCGTCTTTAGTCTTTAGTAATCTACCATACTGACTGAGGACCAGGTTGACAGGCTATTAATGTTGCATCGAAGGGTCTCTTCTAGTGGTAAAGCTGACTCACTGAGAACCAGGTCTATTGGTGGGCTGTGTTCACCCACTCCTAAGATGGTGACTGCAGCCACCATCACACTGTACTGGAGGTCTGGTAGCAGCCCAGTCAGTAGGATGGATAACACTGCTCCATCCACTGTCCTGTTGATATGGCTCTCTGTCTTCATCTCAGAGTCACTCCCCAGGCACCAGACCTGACAGACAGAGTAACAAACTTGATACTGAGTGGTGGACCGACAGAAACTCTGGAGGGACAGAAATAACCTACAACATTTAATAACACTAGAAGCATTAAGTCGATCATGTTGCCAAGAGGATGGGACAACTGAACCAGAAGTGGAGATATTTTGTTGTTGTCAGCCGGCACGACATGGGGATACAATAGGCTTTAAACGCCTTTCCAGAAAAGTTTTAGAAAATAAGTGTTGTTTTTATGTCGACTGCAAAGCAAAACTTAGAGATCCAATCAACAAGATGAGGACAAGTGATTTAAATCTGAGGACTAAATTGGTTAAATTGTGTTTTTGCCGTTAACTGATACTAAACATGGAGCAATTTGCAATGTTTAATTAAAACCACTAGCACAGCATTTCTGTTCTGCACAGCATGTTTTGTCAACAAGGATAAAACCGACTGCTTAAAATCAGCACATTGCTGATTCAAACAAATATTTCATTTTATCTTTCTCACGAACAGCTGTAGTGACTAATTAACTGGCCACTTTTCACTAAATTAACATCAGACAGAGTAGTCTAGAGTAGCACTTTCCTCCAGCCAGGTACAGCTTCAACAGTCTCCACGCTGTAATCTCACCTTGTACTCCAGGACTGTACCACTCTGAACGTCAGCGGGGGGAGGCTCCCAGGAGACACTGATGCTGGCACTGTTGCTGAGCTGGACCACTGACACAGCCTGCGGGGGAGCACTCAACACTGGAAGGATGTGAACATGGAAAACTGTTAGTTAACGAAAAGTCACAAAAAGTGACTGGTCAATAAAATAGATGTTCCTATACGCATGTGCTGTGGTATCCTACAGTAGCATATGACAGCATTGATTAGTCATTTTAGAAGCAAAAAAATCTTTACAAAATTCGAACGAAAGTCTGAGGAAAATGTATTGAACTATGCCTACAGACTTCACAGAGAGGGACCCTCCTGCATCACGCTGCGTGTCTTACCCTCCTCAGGGGTGCGTAGCTGCACCAGGGGGCTGTCCAGTCCCTGCAGCTCGTTGAAGTAGGGGCGGACCTTCACCTCGTACTCTGTGTTCGTGCGCAGGTCTGATAGGACAGTGCTGAGCTCAGACCCAGCCTTCACGTCCTGGACTAACCAGGCGCTGCCAATGGAGCGGTACAGCAGCCTGTAGCCCTGCACATACTGAGACTGACGTGCCACCTGACCAATGACAGAACACAGAGGGAGGGTGGGTCATAGAGGTGGTTAATGATCTATTCCGAGATATTGTAAAGTATGAAGCACAGTATAAAGTAGCATATTGCTTTTCCAGATTATAACACTCAGTTTTACTCACAGTCCAGGAGACTTGGGCACTGGTGGGTGATAGGACCACAGGCTTCTGCAGGTAGACAGACACCTCCCCTAGTTCTCTCTGCACTTGTCTGTGGTCCACCCCCTGCTCTGTAGGACTTCCATCTACAACAACACAGAGAGAGCTGCACTCAGAATAGCCTGACATCATACCACACTGCACTGAGAACAGCCTAACATCACATAACACTTTACTATGAAACAGTTCAAGTGATTGAGTGATTATATGCTGTTCTGTGCCCATACTGACCCTGTGTCCTGATGGGTTCAGAGATGGGGCTGGGGTCACTCAGACCATAGGAGTTGACTGCTCGGACGATGAACAGGTAGACAGTGTTTGGGTACAGGCCGATGACCGTGTGCTTCTCCTGTTTCACGTGGTCAGCTACCGTCTGCCACACACTGCCAACGGATTGGCTGGAAAAGAACAATCAATTACTGGTTGAATTCTGGTAGGATTGTCTGGCCTTGTCCTTATCCTGATATGAGAAATAACAACAATGAGTGTGGTATGACAATTTGGGTCCTCTATCATAGATGAATGTTGGGTAAATAAATGCTATTATCTCAGTCCAGTGAGGACCTACAGTACATATTACCTAGCCTATGGTATGGTTTGTCCGGTCAATTACCCAGCGAGTAATTAAAAGAGCCCAGTCTAAAGGCTTCAGCATGCTTCAGTTCGGCTGGCGCCTAGCCGTACTCCGCTAGCCGAACCGAACGAGCGTGCTAGCGTACTCCATTAAAAGACCTTCGCTTGACAAATGAGAAAAAAAAAATTGACGCCGTAGCCAGTATACACTTCCTCAAAATAGTCAGAATTAATCTAAGATAACCCAAGAAATCGGTCATTAATTTACACGTTTTTGCGGAGGAGATCTTAGTCGCGCAATTGTACATCTAATTAAGATGTTTGGTGCAGTATTTGTCAATGAAAAAATTTGAACGACAACAAAGACTATTGAAGAATCCCTACTGTTGACCAATCACTGATGAAGGTGCGTAGACTTCGGCTTGCCTCAAGAAAAAATTTGTGCCCGAACAGACGAAAAAAACCTTATCGAAGTCCAAAATGAACAAAAACGTCACAAAATGTCGTCATAATATATGCACAAACTCTTCCGGATGAAAAGCATGCAGACATCTTAAGGAAGCAGCGCTATAACTCTGGCCTGCTCCTTAACTAAGTGTCAGACAAGACCTGTGTGACAATCTGCCCTCTACTGTCATCCAACCCCCTTCAAGCCCCCCCCCCCCACTCTTCTTCCATTAGGCCCTGTTCTCCAGTCCTAGGAGGGTTAGCGGATGAATAATAGTAGACATCCCCATCCAGCAGCTAGCTCTATTTAAAGACTGTGCTCTGTTAGATGAAGTTCGAGGAAAGTACCTAACCACTACCCATGGGAATGTCTCCTCTCAAACTGTGCTGTCAGTCTCAGTGCCAATCAGCAGGCAGCCTGTTGGCCTGTTTGTGTGTCTGCCTGCCCTGAGCCTCTGACCTCTCTGTGATGAGAGCTCTCTGGCTGGTCTGCCCTTCCATAGCCCCAGGTCAGTGCTGTCCAGGACCATTGGGAAAATGCAGTTTTTTTTTCTTTATGCAACTGATTCTATGATTCTCTGCTCCCGAATGCTTTATGCTTTTATTGAATCTGCCATGGCTCGGTTTCTCTTCACGTCGTTATTTCCTGCCCATGTAGCACATGTATGAATGGCTTAGTTAAACCAAATGGACATTCTCTGTATGTGAATACAATACACACCAAGAACACAAGTGATATAGCAACAGACCTAGAAAGCATAGAAATAGAAATCCTCAATTTCTATGGTACCCTGCAGAGCCATGTATTAAGAGAGGTTGGGCAATGCGGTTTCTAAATATATGGCTCTGGTACCCAGTCCTTGCATGTCATACTGTACCTGAAGGCCTCGATGATGTAGGAGGTGACAGCAGCCCCACCCTCGTGGGGGTTGGACTGCCAGGTGAGGGTGACTGTGTTTCTGGTCACCTCTGTCACCACAGGCTTCTGGGGCGGCCCTGGCAGCTGGATGGACTCTGACACCCGGGGAACTGATGACCCAGGGGCTCCATCCTCTGGGAAACAAACAGAGATACGGCATGAGATAACATGAGACACAGTGGTGGTGTGTGGTAATGGTACCGGGATATAGTGGTGTGTGGTAGTGTACCGGGGATATAGTATGAGCTTGACTGTTCATTTTTCAAGTCTATTGATAACCACACACAGTAGTGGTGAATACTGTAGCTAAAGCACGAAAGTAGGTTTCCATAAGGTGTAATGTATCATTTGAAACCAGTGGTGTTTGGTTTTGTGAGGCGCTGAGAGGAGTGTGTGAGTTTACCTCTCATGGTGAGTGTCCCACTCCAGCTTGACTCGCCCATGGCGCTCGACACCACACACGTGTACATTCCCGAATCCGTATCCTAGCAACAGAGAGGTGCATTTTAGCTCCCTTTCACGAGGAGAGGGGACCCAAAACATTGGAACCACGGTGGTTTAGATCCTTTCTGTGTTTGCTAATCCAAGTGGAGCAAATACCAGTGGTTCTCCTCTTTTTACTTATTCATTGCTTCTTTGTTCACTGCTTTGCCGCCGTCCTTAGACTCACTTCTAGAAGTTTAAAGGTAAAATCTTTTATGAAATGCCACTTTGCCACAAAGCAGACATCACTCAGCCACAGTAGCACTAGGAGTCATATGTTCTGAACACTCCTGAGAGAACAGTAGTCTACATGGCCTTCATCTCCCCATGTGCATGGTCTAGCTCACAGGTGTCAAACTCATTCCACGGAAGGCCGAGTGTCTGCAGGTTATCACTCCTTCCTTGTACTTGATTAATGAATTAAGCTCACTTATTAGTAAGGAACTCCCCTCACCTTGTTGTCTAGGTGTTCATTGAAAGAAAAAAAGAAAAGAAAACAGCAGACACTAGGCACTCCATGGAATGAGTTGGACACCCCTAGTCTACCTGCTCTCCTTTTCCACAGTACTGTATACATGTCCACACACTTCACTGGCCTAATGGTGTTACTAACACTGGGCTGGCGGAGTGCCAGTCTACTGTAACCAACAGAAATTCATGTTAGAACATTCACCACAGCATTGACCTCTGGTTGGTGGACTGGTAGTATGTGGACAGATGAACTCTGTGTGAGTTTAACCACTGCTGAAATATTGAAGACTAGGAGGCGGCATCGCTAGGCTAACTATTTTTAGCCCTCTTTCTCCCTCTACATCTCGTCCTCTCCCTTCCTCTCTCTCTCTCTCTCCCTCTTGATGCCAAGCTAATGCATCTCTTCTGTTCCATTGAGCGCAGTGGCATGGCAGATTTCCCCCGCCTCAGTGATGCATTGGACCTTGTGTTAATGATCCAAGTTTGCTGAGCACCACTGCTGAGCATGACGCAGTGATGGAGAGCGAGACAGAGGGAGAGAGAAAGAGAAAGGGGGGAGAGAGGGGGGGAGAGGAAGAGAGAGAGTTGTGCCAGAGATTTAATTAAAGGCTTTGAGATCGTTAATCATGCGTGGCCACAGTCAATTAGCACAAACGATGCTGCTCTCCCCGTTCCGCATGCTCACCTCCAGTGAGGCCACAGCACAAAAAGGGCCACAGACTGCTCTTCATCAAAGCAGAACACATTTACAAACAAGTCCCTTCATTAACATTACAATTACACACTGCATAGGCATGTAGTCGCGCCGGAGAGGTCAGTTTGAAATTCAGTTTCACCTTGATTTTTTTTTTTAAACACAGAGAGGTACTTATAATGGAGGAGAACATAAAAACGTTGGTTGGTTGCCCTCTGGCTTTGGAGAAAGTAAAAATGTAACGATGATGGATGGCAGGGATTTCTGTTCAGCCACGCGATACTAATTTGTTCATGAGGCTCAAAAGACAAAATCAGATCACAGCCATATTTTTATTCCATGACATCATACACGTACCTCAACGTTAGTGATCTGCAGTGTCCCGTTCTCCATCAGGGTCATGCGGGGGTCGTCCCCCACAATCCTCTCCCCGTCCTTTTCCCACCCAATCCTTAGTGAGGGTCCACCAATCGCATGACACTGTAACTGGGCAACGGACCCCAGAGCCAATGTCTGATTGGCTGGGCCTTGGCGGATTATTGGTGGAACACGGGGTGAAGGACCTATGGGTAAAAGGGAAGAACCGACAGGATATTATGTCAGTGGGTCCTGTCACACACACTGTAATGTCCACTATATTTGACAGTGGTTATGTAGAGCTGTCTGCCAATCCATTCATATGTGTTGTAATATCAATGTATTTGTACTGGGCTCTCCTCTCCCAGTACCATATTCCTTCCTCGTCCCAAAGTAACCCCCTCCATCCCTCAAACTCACCCCCTTCCACCTCCAGCAGGGCTTTGGTCAGGACACTTCCTGCTACACTGATGGCCTGGCAGATATAATACCCAGTATCCTCTGGGTGCACGTCGGTGATGGACAGCTCTCCACTCATGGACACAGAGTAGCGGCCGGACTGGGAGAGGTGCTGGCCAGGAAACAGCAGCATCTACACACAAACGAACAAGCGCACACACACACACACACACACACACACACACACACACACACACACACACACACACACACACACACACAGAAACACTTGCATCTTAGCTAGTGATGAATCAGAGAGATTATGTACTTTATGCATGCATTATACAGAATAGCAAGAGGTAACTTGGGACTTTTGTTTTGGTCTGTTGGTTTAATGTGAGCTGACAGACGCTTTACACACGGCCAGAGTGATGGGAGAGGGAGATGGGCATGAATATGGGGAAGGGACATCCTTCCATCCATCTCCCCATCCATCCATTTCATTCCTGTAAGAGGCTTAGACTGAGTGAGTGGAGGACCAGGGTTATAAACCCATAAGAGAATCCCAAAAGTACAGCAAACCGCTTCACAAGCAGGGGACCGACCAGCCACCACAACTATCATATAGACTGGAGGCGTTAAAACATAGTGTTTCTGTGCCTATCTTCCAGGGAAGCAGCTCCTCTCCCACCTGATGTAGCTCTTCTGAGTATTGGTCTTTGCATTTCACAGCCAAATGCAAAATGAGCTCCCTCCCTCATTTCGCCTCGGCCAACGTCTCTTCAAGAGCACGGCAATCAAGAAGAAAGTGTGAAAGCGCTGTTAAACTCTAACGATTCCCGGGCTTGTTTTCAAGCCGAGAGAATTCAAATGAGTCACCACCAAACAAACATGGAGAGAAAACGATTTGTCTGCTGCTGATCAAAATAATGGCCTATTGAATAATAAGGCTAAAACACACAGGTCCCGTGTGGCTCAGTTGGTAGAGCATAGTGCTTGCAACGCCAGGGTTATGGGTTCGTTTCCCACGGGGGAACAGTACAGGAAAATAATACAAAAATGTATCCACTCACTACTGTAAGTCACTTTGGATAAGAGCGTCTGCTAAATGACAAAAATGTAACTGTACTTAAAGTTGAAGTCGGAAGTTTACATACATTTTAGGTTGGAGACATTAAAACTCATTTTTCAAACCACAAATGTCTTGTTAACAAAACTATAGTTTGGCAAGTCGGTTAGGACATCTACTTTGTGCATGACACAAGTAATTTTTCCAACAATTGTTTACAGACAGATTATTTCACTTATAATTCACTGTATCACAATTCCAGTGGGTCAGAAGTTTACATACACTAAGTTGACTGTGCCTTTAAAACAGCTTGGAAAATTCCAGAAAATTATGTCATGGCTTTAGAAGCTTCTGATAGGCTAATTGACAACATTTGAGTCAATTGGAGGTGTACCTGTGGATGTATTTCAAGGTCTACCTTCAAACTCAGTGCCTCTTTGCGTGACATCATGGGAAAATCAAAAGAAATCAGCCAAGACCTCAGAAAAAAATTTGTAGACCTCCACAAGTCTAGTTCATCCTTGGGAGCAATTTCCAAACGCCTGAAGGTACCACGTTCATCTGTACAAACAATAGTACGCAAGTATAAACACCATGGGACCACGCAGCGGTCATGCCACTCAGGAAGGAGACGCGTTCTGTCTCCTAGAGATGAACGTACTTTGGTGCGAAAAGTGCAAATAATTCCCAGAACAACAGCAAAGGACCTTGTGAAGATGCTGGAGGACACAGTAAAAAGAGTCCTATATCGACATAACCTGAAAGGCCGCTCAGCAAGGAAGAAGCCACTGCTCCAAAACCGCAATTAAAAAGCCAGACTACGGTTTGCAACTGCACATGGGGACAAAGATGGTCCTTTTTGGAGAAATGTCCTCTGGTCTGATGAAACAAAAATAGAACCGTTTGGCCATAATGACCATCGTTATGTTTGGAGGAAAAGGAGGGACACTTGCAAGCCGAAGAACACCATCCCAACCGTGAAAAACGGGGGTGGCAGCAACATGCTGTGGGGGTGCTTTGCTGCAGGAGGGACTGGTGCACTTCACAAAATAGATGGCATCATGAGGAAAGAAAATTATGTGGATATATTGAAGCAACGTCTCAAGACATCAGTCAGGAAGTTAAAGCTTGGTCGCAAATGGGTCTTCCAAATGGACAATGACCCCAAGCATACTTCCAAAGTTGTGGCAAAATGGCTTAAGGACAACAAAGTCAAGGTATTGTTAACTGTAAGTCGCTCTGGATAAGAGCGTCTGCTAAATGACTAAACATTTAAATGTATTGGAGTGGCCATCACAAAGCCCTGACCTCAATCCTATAGAAAATGTGTGGGCAGAACTGAAAAAGCGTGTGCGAGCAAGGAGGCCTACATACCGGACTCAGTTACACCAGCTCTGTCAGGAGGAATGGGCCAAAATTCACCCAACCTATTGTGGGAAGCTTGTGGAAGGCTACCCGAAACGTTTGACCCAAGTTAAACAATTTAAAGGCAATGCTACCAAATACTAATTGAGTGTATGTAAACTTCTGACCCACTGGGAATGTGATGAAAGAAATAAAAGCTGAAATAAATAATTCTCTCTACTATTATTCTGACATTTCACATTCTTAAAATAAAGTGGTGATCCTAACTGACCTAAGACAGTGAATTTCTACAAGGATTAAATGTCAGGAATTGTGAAAAACCGAGTTTAAATGTATTTGGCTAAGGTGTATGTAAACTTCCGACTTCAACTGCAAATGTGACATAACAACATCACTACTTTGTTGATCAGTTTAACTTGCCATTTACCTACAACAACACATGCTGTAGTGTGTACATAGTTGGAATTTTCTTTCATTATTTTAACCTCTTTACAAGGTATTAGTCTTTATTTATTTATTTATTTATTAATTAGGGGGTAGTCTTTATTGGCCTCTCTCAACCTGTTTATCAGGAAGTGACACTCTTACCTGGCTTCCTTCTTTCTTCCAGAAGATGGCGGGTGAGGGGTTTCCTCTGGTGCCACAGCGGAAGGTGATGCTGCGCCCCTGAGCTGAGATCTGGTCCCGGGGTTTAATGGTGATCTGTGGGGGCACTGGAGAGGAGAGGAGACACACTCTTTTAGAAGCTTCAGGTTTTAGGCGTTAGGCTTTAGCGTTTGAATTCACAATTTTCTCCCATCTCCCCTGCATAATCAATACCTACTCAGTAATGCCAGAACAGTACTGATTAAACATTTAGAACTACCCTTTTTACTCCGTGATTTGACTGCGGTCACCTTTAACCCTCAGCCAGTTGATATATGGTTTCCCTTTCTGATTAATCTGCCCTCTCATTTTCACATTATCGAGTGAAGACATTGATGCATATATTTTATACTGAGACGAGCCATCATCTAATTCCAATCAAACTATTGTGATTGTATTTGTGGGTTTACTTTGAAGTGATATCAGTGGAAATGAACTGGTAGTCAGGTTGTGTGTTGTGGCCACAGCTTGCTTCTGATCCCACCACATCCTGTCTTCCTATAGACTTTGACTGCACAACGACAGCATTGACTCCCCTTCCATAGACTCTGAGCTCTCCTGCTGTTTACTCTCCTCAGCAGGCTTCTTCCCTGACTTCACACACAAACACGCGCATACACAAACACAAATCCGAACTGGTTCTCTAGCAAATTAGTAAGGATTGACAGCCGTCCCATATAAATTAGACTGCAAAATAGTTGAGAAGAGATTTTTGATGTACCGATTCCATGGCATAGTGTTTATGAACTGATACGCAAAACGACACCGGATTCAAAACTTAGAATTTTTCAATTTAAATTATTATACAAAATTCTTGCTACCAATAGAATGTTATTTATATGGGGGATACAATCTTCCCAGCTCTTCAGCTTTTGCTGCGAAGAGACAGAATCATTAGATCATTTGTTTTGGTACTGTCCATTTGTAGCTTGTTTTTGGTCACAGGTCCAGGAATGGCTGAAGGATTGCAATATTCACCTGGAGCTAACCCTGCAGATAGCACTACTGGGTGATCTGAAAAGTCATAGTCAATCAATCAATAATATTATAATAATTTTAGCAAAAATGTTTATTTTCAATCTGTAGAAACAATGAGAATAGAAGGGTTCAGAACTTTTGTGAAACATCACAGTTGAAATATATATGGCAAATAGTAATCTAATATGGATGGTGTTAGGAGATAGATGGGGGGTGTTGAATGGAGCTGAAGGATGGGATTAATAACAACTAACAACAACAAGATAACTAATGTAAAGCATACCGTGTCCATAATAAGTATATAGGTTATAGGTTGAGAGCGTTTGTGAAAGAGCACAGTTGGAAAGATATGGCATATATAGGCAAACCGGGTGGACAGGAGAGGTTGAGGGTAGAGGAAGTTCAGGAGTAAAAACAAACAAAATATAATTATTGTAAAATTGACTGTGTCCATAAAATGTATATAGTATGTATAAGCTGGAAGTAGAGGCCTAAGCGTTGTTGTTCACTAGTTTACTCTAATTAGGGGCGGGTGGTGGGGTTGGAAATTAATAAAGGGAAATATATTTTTTAAAAGGATATATATATATATATATATATATATATATATATATATATATATATATATATATATATATATGCGAGAGAAAAAATATATATGGGGGATTGGAAGTGATGCAGACAATTACATTGATGGAAGTTACAATCTATCTGCAATATTAAAGCTGATCTACATCTCCTACATAGTCAATGGCACATGGAACAGAATGAAGGGAATGCGTTGTTTGGAGGGGGAGGGTTTTGGATTTCATCAGGACTTGGATTTCATCAGGACTGACAAAAGCAAATGAAGGATGAAGTTAACCCCGCTGCCCACTCAGCCAACACAGCCAACACAGCCACACAGCCACACAGCCACACAGACACACAGACACACAGACACACAGACACACGTCTTATTAATAGTGGTCCTGCTCTCTGGCAGTGTATTAAAGCACACCATCTCCCAAACAGCTGTCAGAGGGAGTAATCCATACGGTTTAACATAAGCTTCTGTCAGTGGAGTTGAAGAGAAGAGAGCACAGCACAAATACATTGATATTCCAACACATATTCCAACACACACGGATGGATGGGCAGAGTTAAAAAAAATAAAATAACACTTTTTGGGGGTTATATTTTACCCCCTTTTTCTCCCCAATTTCATGGTATCCAATTGGTAGTTACAGTCTTGTCCCATCGCTACCAGGATCTCTAGTGGCACAGCAAGCACTGCGATGCAGTGCCTTAGACCACTGCGCCACTTGGGAGGCCCAGATGGGCAGAGTTCTGACAACTCTACATGACCACTGTCAAATGAAGTGGACATAAGTGTGTGACTGTACTGTACTGTACTGCATGAATGTGCCTTTGAGTATGACAACGTATATCTGTGTGTGTGTGTGTGTGTGTGTGAGAGAGAGTGAGTGAATCTTTGTTTCTTACCATGGACCTGTAGCATGGCTGAAGCCTCTGTCTTGCCCACGCTGTTCTCAGACATACAGGTGTAAGTTCCCTCGTCCTCCTCTCTCACCCTGGTCAGACGCAGGCTGTTGTCACTGCGGATCTCAAACCTGGGAGAGCGAAACACAGGGAGTAAAAGTATTTTCATAAAGTGAACCAGGATAACAACCTCTCCCTCAACGTGATCAAGACAAAGGAGATGATTGTGGACTACAGGTTATAGGAGGACTGAGTACGCCTACATTCTCATCGACGGGGCTGTAGTGGAGCAGGTTGGGAGCTTCAAGTTCCTTGGTGTCCACATCACCAACAAACTATCATGTTCCAAACACACCAAGACAGTCGTGAAGAGGGCACGACAAAGCCTATTCTCCCTCAGGAAACTGAAAAGATTTGGCATGGGTCCTCAGATCCTCAAAACGTTCTACAGCTGCACCATCGAGAGCATCCTGACTGGTTGCATCACTGACTGGTATGGCAACTGCTCGGCCTCCAACCGCAAGGCACTACAGAGGGTAGTGCGTACGGCCCATTACATCACTGAGGCCAAGCTTCCTGCCATCCAGGACCTCTATACCAGGCGGTGTCAGAGGAAGGCCATAAAAATTGTAAAAGACTCCAGCTACCCTAGACATAGACTGTGCTCTCTGCTACCACACGGCAAGCGGTACCGGAGCGCCAAGTCTAGGTCCAAAAGGCTTCTTAACAGCTTCTACCCCCAAGCCATAAGACTCCTGAACAGCTAATCAAATGGCTACATGGACTATTTGATTGTCCCCCCCCCCCCCCCCTCCCTCTCTTATGCTACTGCTACTCTCTGTTTATTATCTATGCATAGTCACTTTAACTCTACCTACAAATACATATTACCTCAATTACCTCGACTAACTTGTGCCCCCGCACATTGATTCTGTACCAGTACCCCCTGTATATAGCCTCGCTACTGTTATTTTACTGCTGCTCTTTAATTATTTGTTAATTTTATTTTTTACTTAACACTTATTTTTCTTAAAACTGCATTGTTGGTTAAGGGCTTGTAAGTAAGCATTTCACTGTAAGGTCTGGTCTACACCTGTTGTATTCGGCGCATGTGACAAATATAATTTGATTTGATTTGTGAGAACCACTGCCTTTGAACTATGTAAAAGTGACCTTGAATGTACTTGACCATCAAAATGTAACTATGAAGTAATCTGAAACTGTAGACAAAAAATAATAAAACAATAAATAAAGAAAAGATGAGTCAACCCTATAACTTAATACATCTGCAGAGCGATATGCACAAGTCAACCGTGTTAGAGTCAAACAGCAAATCAGAATGGGCAGAGTGAGTCACCTCCATCACCATCTTAGAGTAATGAAAGTATTTTAATTTTCTTACCACCCCCACACTCCCCATAGTTACAGTATAATCATAATAATATTGAAATATGTATATTTTGTGCACCCGGATGATCTTCTAACTGTATAGTCAAGTTGCAGAGTCACAGGAGGTACATGTTAACTAATGAATCCTCACTGGCCTCCCATTCATGAATTTGTATTGGCTGAGGGAAGGGAAGGCATGAATTAATGAGTAATTTCTGTAGCTGTGCTTTCTAGGTCACATTCTTTAATCCCATATGCATCCCTGGTGAATGGGCTTCCCTAATTCCGTCAGTCTGTCAGTCAGTCTGTACCTCCAGCACTCCATCAATCAATGTGTCACATACCTTAATTAATCCCCCCCCCCCACCACTCACTTTTAAAAAATCATACCCCTATTTATTTCTGCAACAACACACTCACTCATCACAAATTATAAGCAAGATAGTTACTTACAGAGCCTCCTAAACACTTGATTGAAATCGAAAAAGAGGGTGGGCTATCAACTGATCATTCATGTTGATGATTGATGTAAATCTGCTAGTTAGCTAGTGCAATTTATTTTACTGATTATGATTTATCTTCCATGCTTGTATAAAATAAGAAGAATAACTGCATAATATAATATTCCTAATCTTCTAACTCATGATATATGGCTGGCTGGCTAGTGGCTTGTGTGGATATTTTAGTATATGTTGGTTAGCTTGAGTTTAGACTGCCTGTGTTGCTGCTGCTCTGACACGTGCAACTACCGACTGAAGAATGGGTGAAGTTGGGTCGGAGGGTCATTGATGCAGCCTCTCCTCTCTATGTCTTTCTGTCTCGCTCTGCTGCATGCATCAGCCAACCAGACCCAATATTATTGATGATGTAGGCTAAATCAAGTGTTATCAAGTATGAAAGTGTTATGCTACTGTGGCAGTACTGTTGATATTTCAACTAGGTAGCTAGCTACACACTCAAGCAGTGACCACATCTCTCAAGCCATGCATGTTTGGATACCGGGCATGCGCGAGCTCTGTACAGGGCAGATCAACAGGCGCTACCAACGGACGGAGTGGGTTATGGGATTAGCGAACTTGAGGACATCACGACTACTTGTGGGCAGTGGGTTACGAACAACAATATTATACAACAAATTAATTTTGGGGGAAAATATACCACCACCCAAAAGGGCACTTTGGAGACTGGAAGGGCAAGGGGGCATGAGCTCTACACAGGTAGAGCCCTATCTGTGCACATGGCTGTGCACCCCTGGTGAATGGGCTTCCCTCATTCTGTCAGTCTGTACCTCCAGCACTCCATCAATCAATGTATCGCCTGAGTGTTTTGTCTATCTCTTCAAGTGTAATTCAATCAGTTTAATTTTCTATTAGTGAGTGGACCTGTCCGTCAATGTGTCCTCACCTCCCACGGGGGAGCTCTGCCTGCTCTCGGCGCCAGCGTACCGTGGGGGCGGGGTCTCCGTGTACCTCACACAGAAAGTCAACGGTCTCTTCTTCCATCACCACCTGGTTCACCGGCCTCCGCATCAGCACAGGACGCTCTGCAAAGAGAGACCCAGAGTTACACACACAAATACACGTGCACACACACACACACACACACACACACACACACATTGGTGTGAGAGACTCACCATACACCACCAACTCAGCAGGATCACTGTCCCTCTCTCCCACCATGTTGGTGCCCACACACACATACATGCCAGCATCACTCTTCCTGGTGTGGGAGATCATCAGCTTGCCCCCACGCATCTGAAAAACAAGACAGTGATGACAGGTCATCATATCACTCCATGTATTAGCCTTTTGGGCTTCTCAGAGGAGAGACAGTACTTCCACCATATGACATCAGCACTACAAATGAATGTACAGTATCATGAATGATTCCACCATCATCAACAAGTATCATTAATGATTCCACCATCATCAGCATGCATCATTAATTATATTAATGGCCTTTGAAACAGTTTGGGTTGACTTGGGATTGAACTGCACTGAGCTTTGGGTTGGAACTTGAGGGTTTTACTTCTACCTCTAATGAGCTTGATGCTGTAACTAGGGGTTATAGTTCAGGGGTCATATAGGTGAGACTCACAGAGATGCGGTCATCCTTGTTGCTGACGCGGGCGTTGTTCCTCTTCCAGGAGACGGTGGGCTCAGGGTGACCCCGGGGGGGAACACACTCCAGGACCGCTGGCTCACCATTTGCCACCACCACATCACTGGGGGCCTGGCGGAAGTCATCCCTCAGGACTGGGGAGAGGAGAGCATTGACATGGTTTAGTCTATCTATTCATATTACCTTTATTTTACCAGCTAGGTAAACACATTAGGAAAAATAGACAGACTCAAACTACAGTATATAGCATATTGTTATTATCTATTCATTTATTACCTTTATATGTACAGTGAGGGGAAAAAAAGCATTTGATCCCCTGCTGATTTTGTACGTTTGCCCACTGACAAAGAAATGATCAGTCTATAATTTTAATGGTAGGTTTATTTGAACAGTGAGAGACAGAATAACAACAAAATAATCCAGAAAAACGCATGTCAAAAATGTTATAAATTGATTTGCATTTTAATGAGGGAAATAAGTATTTGACACCCTCTCAATCAGAAAGATTTCTGGCTCCCAGGTGTCTTTTATACAGGTAACGAGCTGAGATTAGGAGCACACTCTTAAAGGGAGTGCTCCTAATCTCAGCTTGTTACCTGTATAAAAGACACCTGTCCACAGAAGCAATCAATCAATCAGATTCCAAACTCTCCACCATGGCCAAGACCAAATAGCTCTCCAAGGATGTCAGGGACAAGATTGTAGACCTACACAAGGCTGGATTGGGTTACAAGACCATCGCCAAGCAGCTTGGTGAGAAGGTGACAACAGTTGGTGCGATTATTTGCAAATGGAAGAAACACAAAATAACTGTCAATCTCCCTCAGCCTGGGGCTCCATGCAAGATCTCACCTCGTGGAGTTGCAATGATCATGAGAACGGTGAGGAATCAGCCCAGAACTACACAGGAGGATCTTGTCAATGATCTCAAGGCAGCTGGGACCATAGTCACCAAGAAAACAATTGGTAACACACTACGCCATGAAGGACTGAAATCCTGCAGCGCCCGCAAGGTCCCCCTGCTCAAGAAAGCACATATACAGGGCCGTCTGAAGTTTGCCAATGAACATCTGAATGATTCAGAGGAGAACTGGGTGAAAGTGTTGTGGTCAGATGAGACCAAAATCGAGCTCTTTGGCATCAACTCAACTCGCGTGTTTGGAGAAGGAGGAATGCTGCCTATGACCCCAAGAACATCATCCCCACCGTCAAACATGGAGGTGGAAACATTATGCTTTGGGGATGTTTTTCTGCTAAGGGGACAGGACAACTTCACCGCATCAAAGGGACGATGGACGGGGCCATGTACCGTCAAATCTTGGGTGAGAACCTCCTTCCCAGGGCATTGAAAATGGGTTGTGGATGGGTATTCCAGCATGACAATGACCCAAAACACACGGCCAAGGCAACAAAGGAGTGGCTCAAGAAGAAGCACATTAAGGTCCTGGAGTGGCCTAGCCAGTCTCCAGACCTTAATCCCATAGAAAATCTGTGGAGGGAGCTGAAGGTTCGAGTTGCCAAATGTCAGCCTCGAAACCTTAATGCTTGGAGAAGATCTGCAAAGAGGAGTGGAACAAAATCCCTCCTGAGATGTGTGCAAACCTGGTGGCCAACTACAAGAAACGTCTGATCTCTGTGATTGCCAACAAGGGTTTTGCCACCAAGTACTATGTCATGTTTTGCAGAGGGGTCAAATACTTATTTCCCTCATTAAAATACAAATCAATGTATAAAATTTTTCACATGCGTTTTTCTGGATTTTGTTGTTGTTATTCTGTCTTTCACTGTTCAAATAAACCTACCATTAAAATTTTAGACTGATCATGTCTTTGTCAGTGGGAAAACGTACAAAATCAGCAGGGGATCAAATACTTTTTCCCCTCACTGTATGTTATTGAGAATATGTTTTCTTTCAAATGCAAACTACTGTATATGAGATATATACACATCAGAATCGGCGTACACATCAATCTCCAATGCGGTATTCTGTCAATGTCATCACAAGTGCAATGTCAAATATTGTCCTTGAAATCAATTAGAGCATATTTTATATGTAGAGTTTCTGTTTGAAGGTTAGACGAGAGGAAAACGAGCTGATTGGGTGAGAGCAGTACATTGTGTTTTGTGCTTGTACATGACTGTTCAAATCCCTGGCAACTTCCTTGTTGTGCAGTGTTTTCATGTTTCCTGTGCCGCATCCTAATCTGCAGTCTCTACTGTCAGAGTGGATGAATAATTAATCTGGCTCAGTCCAACACAGAGTAAACAAATACAAACACATAAAAAATGTAACCTGTCAGAGGGAAAAATGGCATCACACATTAATGCAATGCTTCTGTCTCACACTGGACACTACGCTAACTCACATTTCCGCCCTATAAATCTGACAGTTTGACACAACAAACGACAAAACTAAAAAAGGGACATGGTCTTTGTCACTGTCACACAGTGAGGTTACAGCCTTTTCTCTGCAAATGAAGACAGGATGAGATGCTTGACTTGGCAGCAACCTTTATTGTCATTAAATCCCAGAAGTGATTGACAGAGGAAAGCTGCTGTATGAACTCTGACACATTTACATTTAGGTCATTTAGCAGATGCTCTTATCCAGAGCGACTTACAGTTAGTGAATGCATACGTTTTTTTTTCCAATACTGGCCCCCCGTGGGAAACGAACCCACATCCCTGCCGGCCAAACCCTCCCCTACCTTGGACGACGCTGGACCAATTGTGCGCCGCCCATGGGTCTCCCGGTCGCGGCCGGCTGCGACAGAGCCTGGACTCGAACCTGGCCGAGGCCTCAGGAAACCTGTGCAGCACTACTATTCCAGCCTTGAAAATGCACACACACTCACACTGAGGGTCTGCAGTTGACCCTCCCTATGAACCCTTACCTCTGGCCTTTTATGTGACCAACACACACTACTTCAGAATAATCAATATCTCTTCTTATACCTTTATAAATGTTTCAGGTTGGCATTTTACAAAATAAACAATCAGACCAAGACTATCTGCCTGCCTGTCAAACTATCCATCTGTTAACACGGTAATGCATCAACTCCCAATCAAATCAATTAGCACTGCAAATATGTTGTGAATTAGTCCAATCTCAAACATCAGTTAATCTATACTAAACACATTAGTGAACTCATCACCTGTCTATCAACTGTGCGTCTCTCCAGCTAAGCCACACTAACCCCATCACTTATCCCCTGACATGCGTTTGACAGATACCTCCTCATCAACATAGCAGCTATCTGTGTCTTTAACATGGCATTTATATTCACAACCACAGTGACTGACTGACTACCATCTCATTTAGTTTATCACAGTCATCTACAGCGTATAGACCGTCTCCCTCTGTCTTGAGTTGTAAGGGCTGCAATTATCTTGGGAAACGTGTTGCTATGAATATTCCAATCTCTGAGAAACTGACAAATGGTGGCTGAGCCTTCGCTGAGCCGGCTGCGTTTCAGATCCGCTGTCAGGATTGAAGTGGTCATCTGTCAATCTGTCTGCTCAATCTCCCCCCTCCCTCTCGCCAGCCCCCCAATATGAGACAATCTGTCACACACTCTCCGCCTGCCTGAAGTCACTGCCTGTTCAAATGCAGCAGTAATCTCTACTTTTGATCATTTGGAGGCATTTTTTCTATATTATAATGAAGCACATTTAATTCCCCCAGCTGAGACTAGGCTTTTGTCATTGACGTGACATTTAAACTTTTAGAAAAGTCGACTTCTGTTACCCATTTCTTTCAAAAGTAAAAGGCTTGTACAGAACATTAAAAAGCTTGTCAGAATTCTTCATCATATCCAACTGGAGTTTTTTCTGTCTCAGATTGTAATACACCCACCACATCAGCTCATCCAACTAGTAGGAGTTGAGCTCCTACAGTCTGGGGAGAGTTAAATACATAGGCAGGGGGGCAGTTTAAGGGAACATTTAGAGGCACACACTGCCAGGCCATCTGTCCCTTCAGGGGTATAACGGAACCCCCTGACCTCCCATCCCACCCGCCCCCAAAACCCAACAAAAGGAGACCCCAACACAATTAAAGAACCCCCCTTTAGACGAGAGATGGATGAGCTATAACCTGTCAAAGCACACACCCTTCCCAACAGTCTGTTCAGTAGTCCCCACTCAGCTGGCTGCTTGTTTGAAAAGCTTTAGATAGCTGAGGGCTAATTGAAAGTGGTGTATTATTTTTAGAGCTCCGTCTGTAAAGGGCTAGTGCAGAGACGAGACCGGGAGCACAGAGACCATTGCTACCCAGCCATATCGAGGGAACTGAAGAGAAGTCATGGGTATAGAGCCAATGAGCTAATCCCATAACCACACACACACAAACACCTAGACACCTCTCCACTCTCACCCACACATTCAACCATGGATGTCCCAGAATCTGGGCCATTTGAGTGTCTTGAAACACGTGTCAGAGAGTGGAAAATAGCCTCAGAATTTCCCCCAAACACTGTGCAGTGCGAGCAGGCAAGAGCAACTCTTTGAAGCTGTTGAAGTTAATATGATCCCTCCTGCACCCAGGCTTTAAAGGCTGCCATGCTAAAAGTCATTTCACAGAATTCACACACTATTATATTTTTATGAAATGATGATGGCACCACAGGAATCTCCTGATATTTTCAGACAGACAGACGGCCAGGGGACTTCCTGAGGTAATGTCCAAAACACAGTATTTTTACCAGACCTGATTCACACTGATTCCCACTGATGGTGAGTAAGTACCAGGACATCCTGAATCTGAACTATCCCAACCTTACGATGAAAGGAGTGGAGAACAGGGCACCTAAGTGCCTGAGGATAAATAAAGGCCATATTCACCTCCTGCTATTCCTTTAGCTCAGCTTAAACACTGTGGCTAAATGCCTAACCATCATGCTAAATGGTTACTACTATAATAACTGTTACATTTACATTTTAATCATTTAGCATACGCTCTTATCCAGAGCGACTTACAGTAGTGAGTGCATACAATTTCATACTTTACTGTTACATTCCTATTCTGGGACAGTGCCATTTATTTTCATAACTTTCATGTTTCAGGGATTATACAGATTAAGAGATTAAGAATATCCCCAGAATATTCACAACTGTATTTTTAAGTGACATTAATCTCAATATTTAGCATTTAGCAAGAGTGCAGCTTTAGTGGAGTCGAAGTGGCCATCTGTTAATGTTTTGAAGGGGGGAGATGGGAGAGAGAGAGTAGTCATGGCAATAATGGGCTTCATCAAAAAAACAAAGGGCTGCATTGCATTGTGTGGCCCTTGGGCCCGACAGAGATATCTGCTAGATGGGCCAGCTGCAAAGTCAAAATGGTCTATATTGTAAAAATTCATGAAAACAAAAATGTGATTTTTGGTCTTAATTTTAGGTTAGAGTTAGGCATTAGGGTTAGCAGTGTGATTAAGGTTACGTTTAAAATATGATTTTATGACTTTGTGGCTATGCCAGCTAGTGACCACTCTGCAGAGCTTCCTCCAGAACAACATTAATGGCAAAATAATGCTAACCAGCGGTCAGAGTGGGGAGCTGTGCACAGCAGCACAAGGCAGCTCCCGCTCAGCCCAGTCAGAGCTCTTCTCTGTCCTGGCACCCTCCCCCCTTTCCTACTAGCATTGACTTTGCTGATAACATCTTTATTGAGAGAAAAGGTATTTGCTATAATTGTGATATGTAGTTGTCTCAACTAGTTATCTTAATATAAACACACTAATTGTAAGTCGCTTTTTGACCACGCAGCAGACGGCTATATCAGTCAGCTAATACAGGACTATTAAAGGCCCAGTGCACTACAGGACTATTAAAAAGACCTGTAGTTTTGTGAAAAAATATAAATTTTCATTTTTTAAATAAAAACAAACAATTGTATTCTGATTTTTCAGGGCACCCTCAGCACCCCTACTTCCCCTGGCAGTGTTCTAGCTGAGAGCAGGTCCTAGAATAAAGTGACCTGATGGTCAGCCAGTCATTGTTCTTTTGCCTCAGTACAGTAGGAGTAAACCCATTAGAGGTGGTCTAATCCTATCTCTGGAACTGCTGTGTCATGGCTAATAGAGCCAGCCTGTCGAGAGGAGAGGAGGGATTGATTTAATCCAGCCATTGTCTGTGTTTACTGAGGTTAAAGAGGGACTCAGGCAGTGCCAGGTCTCCTGAGCCTATTGTGTTTGAATGCTTGGACGAGTGGTAAACTCATGCCTACAAATTAATCCTTAGGCACTTGTTACAGCCAACTCAATTATTCAAAATCTTGAATACTTTATGTAAATGATTATGACAAGAACAATGAGTAACGTAAAGTAGTATCCATGATATCTGTCCATACAGAAAGCATCTTGTCTGTATTTCTTCTTCAGGGTTTAAAGAAGAGACCGGTGGCAGAGTTGTAGTCTAGAAGAGGCCAAGAAACAAGCTGCAGCCAAAAATGTCATTCCGTCATAAAACCCCCATCAAGAGAAAGAGGGACATCTGGCCGTAAAGCCTTTAAAAAAAAACAAAAAAAAACTTGCTTTATCTTTATTTTAATCCAGATCAGAGATAAGATCTTGCTACCATGGAAAGGAAAATACCTGTCTATTTGTGGAAAAATACCCTGATTTAACTCTTTAGTCATATCCCAGTTTACCCATTTGCTTATGGCCTACACCTAGCAACTTGTTTTTTAAATTATATGAGCAAAAAATATTACATTTTATTTGGAACGGCAAACCAGACTAAATTAAATGAGCCTATTTCTATAAAGAATTTGAATTCGGAGGGCAGAAATAATTAAATATTAAAGCATTAGACCTATCACTAAAGGCTTCAGTTATACAAAAGTTATACTTACATCCAAACTGGTTCTCTAGCAGATTAGTAAGAATGTCTCACCCCATATTCAAGAATGGCCTTTTACCCTTTGTTCAGATTACAACCCGCCCTTTCGGTTATTTGAAAATGAAATCTCCAAAATATAACTATTTTTAGAACAAGCCATAGAAAGTTGGTTGCAATTTCTGTTTAATCCACCAGAAAAGACAGAACAAATATCTCAACAAATATTAAATGGTTAAACTCAAATATACTAATTGATTAAAAAAATAAATAATTAAGAATGGTATAAATCTTTGTAAATGATATCATAAATAGGATTGGTGGAGTTGTCACACATGCAGCTAACAAAAATATATGGACATGTCTGCTCTACCAAAAATTACAAAAAAATGGAAGGGGCAAGTGGAAAGGGTAGAAAGTAAGGAACTGCATTACAGACCAAAATTGGTTAAAATAAAATTGTGGGGGGGGGAAAAAGTATACCAGTTTCATTTAAGGACCCAAAAATGTACAGCTGTGCCATATAGATTGCAAAATAGTTGGGAAGAGATTTGATTTGTACCGATTCTATGGCACATGGTTTATGAACCGATGCACAAAACGACGCCGGTTTCAAAACGTAAGAGTTTTTCAATTTAAATTATTATACAAAATTCTTGCAACCAATAGAATGTTATATATATGGGGGATACAACCATCCCAGCTCTGCAGATTTTGCTGCCAAGAGACAGAATCATTAGATCATTTGTTTTGGGACTGTCCATATGTAGCTTGATTTTGGACGCAGGTTCAGAAATGGCTGAAGAATTGCAACATTTACCTGGAGCTAATTCTGCAAATTGCACTGCTGGGTGATTTGAAAAGTCATAGTCAATCGATCAATAATATAATATTACTCTCAGCAAAAAAAATGTAGCTTTAATTTACAATCTGTAGAAACTATGAGAATAGAAAGGTTTAGAACTTTTGTGAAACATAACTGGATGGTCTTTAGGGATCGATGGGAGGGTTTGAGGGTAGCTGAAGGATGGGACTAAAAACAAACAAAAGATAACTTCACATGTGTACAGACTATAAGGTTTGTTTTAAATCTAGCATAGTTTGTTTCATTTCAAGAGAAGTGAATGTGTGAATATTACATTTTATAAAATATATTAAACGAAACAAACCAAATTCAGTGTGACTGCAGCAGTGTGAAGTGTTGAAAATGTAACACCACCACACTAGAGGAGAAAGCCTGGATAGACCTATCAACAGCTCACAGAACACATAGACCGACTCCTTTACGTTCTATATGACAGTATGATAGGTATAATCTTTTCAGCAGGCGTGTTGCGTAATTAGTCTGGCTGGTGGTATTCATGAGATTTAGGTGGACAACAACAGCCTTTAAAGCCAGCCATCCTATTAGCTCCTCAGTGATTTAAACCACATATAGTCTAGTCTAACAGATGCAGCAGTACTAATTACTGCTCATAAAGAGGGGAGGGGGGGCTCTTCTAAAGCTCTTCCTCCCTCCACCTGTTGTCCCTAGTATCCACACATCTAACACCATCCTCACCCCACCCCAACCTGGGGGGTGAAGCTAAGAACACCACCACCCTACGGTCTTAACTTATGCCCCAGCTACCCAAAGGCACCAGACCTAGGACAATACAGTCATTGCTGCGGTTAGTCACCGTTAGAGTGCCTGCCTCTAGGTGATGCATAGCCTTACTGGTATGACTGTGTCATCTCCAGCTACATCGCCACTGGCTGAGGAGAATTCATCATCAAAAACAACAATATAACTGTGGTGCTTAAATGTTTTTCTCTGGAACCGGTTCTGCTCTAATATTTTAAGTGTTGTTTCGCTAATATTTGATATTCTGCCGTTTATTTGTAATTGTATTTATTAAGGATCCCCATTAGCTGTTGCCAAGGCAGCAGCTACTCTTCCTGGGGTCCAGCAACATTAAGGCAGTTATGAGTGTGGATATATCGCTTAGTATGGAAGCTGAACTAAAGCTGGCCCTATTTTTGAACATGAGCGGTGATGGAGGTCAGTGAGCCATGAGCAGTTAGAGAGGCTGAGGGTGAGGAGGCCTGGCTGGCTCTGTGCTCTGGTGGAAGACAAGATTAACGAGGAGACATTCCCTAATCTGTTACGGTCGTTTTCCTAATCAACACACTCCGCTAATCAATTTCCTAACGCCAGATAGGGCCTGCGTTCAGCCCAGTGTCACGCCACACTGCCACAATTAGAAGGGAAAGAGAGGAAATGGAACGCGAGACCATTGTCACCAAAGTCATAATTGGCTATATCAAATAAATAAAAACTGATTTAAGGTTAGCAGTGTGGTTAATGTTAAAAACTGATTTAAGAAGAGGAATTGTAGAAATAGGCGGGGTTTATGACTGTGGCAAGCACGATAATAGACAATTCTCTTTAATGGTCATAATAGCAGCTGAAAGCCTGTCCTCTTCACCTGTTGTGTGTGAGAGTGAGAGAGAGAGAGAGAGAGAGAGAGAGAGAGTGTGAGTGAGTGAGTGAGAGAGAGAGAGAGAGAACACACACAGGTAATGGGTGAAAAATGTATGCACTCACTAACTGTAAGTCGCTCTGGATAAGAGCGTCTGCTAAATGACTAAAATGTAAAATGTCAATGGGTGACATATACAGCAAGTAAAATGACAAAGACTTACTGGCTACTTCCAGTGAAGCGTTGCGACTGACAGCCTCTCCTAGGTAGTTACGTGCCACACAGGTGTAGACGCCCTCGTCTGGTTTGGAGCGTCGTCCGTGGACGATACGCAGGAAGAAGAGGGAGCCGCTGGGAAGGAGCATGCGGTGAGAACGAGGGTCATCCCGGTCCGTTTCCACCCGCTCACCGTCCTTGTACCACTCCACAGTGGGGTTAGGCCTCCCCTCTGCCTTGCAGTTGAGGGTGGCGGGCTCCCCCTTGGACACGATCAGGTCAGAGGGGTCCTCCACGATCCAAGGTGGGCTGTCCTCAAAACGTGCTCGGGACCCTGTGAGGTGAAAGAAGTTTACTATCCATGCAGCTGTCTATCAGTCATTCAAACTGTAGCCCAAACCTGCCATCTCTGGAGAAAAAAAACATCACAACACAATGTAATCCCCTTCAGAAAAAAGGCTGTAGAAAAGCTCTGACAGGCAAACCCAAATCCATCATCTCCACTGACATGGACGTAAGGATGCATGAAGTCTGAGGGAGAGACAGATGGGTTGGACAATAATAGAGAAATACATCTGTCACTCACCACTGAGATCTACTACTGATGCCATGACAGTAAAGCTGACAAGGCTCAGAACTTGAGTACTGAAGATCTCATGTTGTCGTTTCTCCCCAGGGTGGATTTTGACGCCGTAGAGATAAATCACATCTTTCTTTTACCTTCTGGGCCTCTGCTATTCTAATATTTAATAAGACACTTTTTCAGACAGCCCCTTGAGCATAGGTAAGTAAGTATCCTGCTTGTATACTGTTCACACTGTAATGACTGTATCATACTATCTAGCCTTTTAACCACATCCATTGAGATGTCAATTGTCAGTAATGGTAGGTACGGTAAAGCCTGCTGAAGAAGACAGGTTTAGTCTGATTGGATATTTTCAAAAGGAGGAAGAAGCCACAGGAGATTTGGCCAAACTTCTGAGATGGTAATAGCCAATCTCAATGTCAGTCAGGATTTCAGCAGAGAAGACATGAAGGCCAGTGAGATGCTAACTAAAACAAGACAGAAAGAGAAAGCCAATAGAGAGCGAGAGAGAAATAGAAAAAGAGAGAGAAATATAAAGAGTGAGAAATAGAGAGAGAGAGCGCTCTCCCATATCCCTCCCTCTTGGGATCCATTACTGTTACTCTCTGCTGTATGGGAGAAGAGTACTTCTCCAAGCCAAGTGCTTTTACTAAGCTTTTACAGTAGATGGCTCTAACAATGTGCACTACAGTTTTGGGTTTGGAATGTGAATAATTAAAATGAAGATAAAAGCAAAGACCTCCAATGTGCAGTGTATGAACAGATTGTAAAAAAAAAAAAAAATTGTGCCCAATAGAAATGAATGGTAAATAATGTGTTGTGCCATGAGTCACTTTTATTGTAAATAAGAATAGAATAGGTTTCTAAACATAATCCTGAATGAATCGTGAATAATGATGAGTGAGAAAGTTAGAGGCATAAATATCATACCACCCAAAAATGTTTATTGTAATGCTGAGAGGTTAACATGTCTTCGGGGTATGATATTTCTGGGTCTGTAACTTTCTCACTCATCATTATTCACGATTCATTCAGGACTATCCGTATATCATGGTAGCATCCACATTAATGTAGAAGTGGCATTCACGCTTGTTGGATGCATCTCGGCCTTGTCATTTGTCGTTGTCCGGAGTTCATTCGCCAGGGGAGCCATCTCCTACCTCTCCTCCCCCATCTGATAGCGGAGTTGAAGGAGCACAGCAAGAGGAACATGCCAATCAACGATGGTCGCATGTCACGAGCCGTGGAAGCGGAAGACAGTGGCATCCTGCAAAGCAGGCTACATGCCCAACGAGAGGCCCGGAGCGGATACAAACAACTAATAGTTTCGCCGCCCTGGAGCCTGATCTTCCTGCACCTTCGTCACTTGAGGTACCTGTGTCTGCGGCCGCTGTGCCTACTCCTTCCCCGATTTCGAAGGCAACCTTCCATCCCTGCTCTGGATCAAGCGGGGCTTCTCCATCCGTCGGAGGCCTGCAACAGGCACCGGGAGCTCCTTAAAGGGTTCCCCGAATCCTGTGTAGTATTGGGCGGATATCTTCCAACCGTGATTTTGGGCAGCTCTATGGTAAGAAATGTGACTGTTCCTGGTGCAAAAACAATGTCCTATCCTGGAGCAAGAGTAAATGACATTACAAAGCTGCTCCCGAATGTTCTACGCCAGGACATGGAAACTATATTCTATAGTAGTCCATGTGGATTTTAATGACATTATGAAGGGCAGCTCTGAACAGTTGAAACTGGATTTTAAAAGAGCTGATTGATTCTCTGCTAGACACTAAAAAAAGACCCATCATATCTGGCCCTGTGCCCTCTGAATCATGGCATTGAACGCTTTAGCAGGATTCTCTCTCTTCACAACTGGCTACGTGATTATTGCAACTCAATGGGTGTAACTTTTGTTGACAATTTCGATACAGTTTGGAAATAAAACAAGTTTTATTAATAATTTGGGTTCCTGGATCCTTTCACAGCATTCTAAGGCTGGTTTGAGACAATGACTTATCAGTGACCCAAGCCCAGCTCAGTTAATCCCTACAATTGTGTCGCTGGGTTGTCATAATACTTCAGCAAATGTACATTATACCAGGGGCGTTGGTAGACACAATGTAAGTAACCTAATTTATGCCTCTGCTGGTCCTACAGCTATTGTATGCAATAAACATGTGCCTATGAACCAGAGTTATACTGTTAGCAATGAGGCGGTGTGCCCTAGTAGGAAGTCCACTGTGTGCAGCTCACCCTGCACTAACATAAATACCATGAACATGTCTACTTCTGCTATGCTTCCCAGTAAAGCAATGAAAACAATCAAGCATCCCAGAAAAGTGCTAAAAATAGCCCACGTTAACATAGCTTAAGAAACAAGGATCATGAAATTAATAACTTGCTAGTAACAGATGACATTCATATTCTGACCATCTCTGAAACACACTTAGATAATACCTTTGATGATACAGTGGTAGCAATACATGGTTATAACATCTACAGAAAAGACAAATGACAATGGTGGAAGTGTGGCTGTTTATATTCAGAACCACATTCATGTAAAGCTTAGAGAGGATCTCATGTTAAATACTGTTAAATGGCTACAGGGTCATCTGCCTCACCTAAAGCCCATTCTTGTGGGACGCTGCTATAGACCACCAAGTGCTAACAGACAGTACCTGGATAACTTGTGTGAAATACTTGATAATATATGTGATATCAACCGAGAGGTATATTTACTGGGCAATTTAAATATTGACTGGCTTTCATCAAGCTGCCCACTCAAGAAAAAGCTTCAAACTGTAACCAGTGCCTGAAACCTGGTGCACGTTACCAGTCAACCTACCAGGGTAGTTACAAACAGCATAGGAATGAAATCATCAACATGTATTGATCACATCTTTACTAATGCTGCAGAAATGTGCTTTAAAGCAGTATCCAAATCCATCGGATGTAGTGATCACAATATAGTAGGCATATCTAGGAAAACCAAAGTTCCAAAGGCTGGGCCTAATATAGTGTATAAGAGGTCATACAATAAGTTTTGTAGTGATTCCTATGTTGTTGATGTAAAGAATATTTGTTGGTCTGTGTTGTGTAATGAGGCTCAACCAGACGCTGCACTTGACACATTCATTAAATTGCTTATTCCAGTTACTAATAAGCATGCACCCATTAAGAAAATGACTGTAAAAACTGTTAAATCCCCATGGATTGATGAGGAATTGGAAAATTGTATTGTTGCGAGGGATGAGGCAAAAGAAATGGCAAATAAGTCTGGCTGCACAACCGATTGGCAAATGTACTGCACATTGAGAAATCATGTGACTAAACTGAATAAAACAAAGAAACTATACTATGAAACAAAGATAAATAATAGAATGATAGTAAAAAGGCAAACTCGGCTCCATTATTCATTGAATCTGATGTCTCATTTCTCACAAAACCCACTGATATTGCCAATTACTTCATTGGCAAGATTAGCAAACTTAGGCATGACATGCCAGCAACAAACGCTGACACTACACATCCAAGTATAACTGATCAAATGATGAAAAGACAAGCATTGTAATTTTGAATTCCGTAAAGTGAGTGTGGAAGAGGTGAAAAAAGTATTGTTGTCTATCAACAATGACAAGTCACCGGGGTCTGACAACTTGGATGGAAAATTACTGAGGATAATAGCAGACGATATTGCCACTCCTATTTGCCATATCTTCAATTTAAGCCTACTAGAATGTGTGTGTTCCCTCAGGCCTGGAGGGAAGCAAAAGTCATTCCGCTGCCTAAGAATAGTACAGCCCCCTTTTCTGGCTCAAATAGCCAACCAATTAGCCTGTTACCAACCATTAGTAAACTTTTTGGGGGAAATTGTTTGACCAGATACAATGCTATTTTACTGTAAACAAATTGACAGACTTTCAGCACGCTTATAGGGAAGGACATTCAACAAGCACAGCACTTACACAAATGAGTGATGATTGGCTGAGAGAAATTGATGATAAAAAGATTGTGGGGGCTGTTTTGATAGACTTCAGTATGACTTTTGACATTATCGATCATAGTCTTCTGCTGAAAAACGTATGTGTTATGGCTTTACACCCCCTGCTATATAGTGGATAAAGAGTTACCTGTCTAACAGAACACAGAGGGTGTTCTTTAATGGAAGCCTCTCCAACATAACCAGGTAGAATCAGTAATTCCCCAGGGCAGCTGTCTAGGCCCCTTACTTTTTAAAATCTTTACTAATGACATGCCACTGTGTCTATATATGCGGATGACTCAACACTATACATGTCAGCTACTACAGCGACTGAAATGCCTGCAACACTTAACAAATAGCTGCAGTTAGTTTCAGAATGGGTGGCAAGGAATAAATTAGTCCTAAATATTTCAAAAACTAAAAGCATTGCATTTGGGACAAATCATTCGCTAAACCCAAAATCTCAACTAAATCTTGTAATGAATAATGTGGAAATCAAGCAAGTTGAGGTGACTAAACTGCTTGGAGTAACCCTGTCATGTAACGGTCATGGTCAAAACATGTTGATACAACGGTAGCTAAGATGGGGAGAAGTCTGTCCATAATAAAGAGCTGCTCTGCCTTCTTAACAACACTTTCAACAAGGCAGGTCCTACAGGCCCTAGTTTTGTTGCACCTGGACTACGGTTCAGTAGTGTGGTCAGTTGCCACAAAGAGGGGCTTAGGAAAATTACAACTGCCTCAGAACAGGGCAGCACGGCTGGCCCTTAAATGTACACAGAGAGCTAACATTAATGATATGCATGTCAATCTCTCACGGCTCAAAGTGGAGGAGACTTCATCACTACTTGTTTTTGTAAGAAGTGTTGACAAGCTGAATGCACCGAGCCGTTTGTTTAAACTACTAGCACACAGCTCGGACACCCATGCATATCCCACAAGACATGCCACCAGAGGTCTCTTCACAATCCCCAA